TATGTATGGTAAAGTAAGCGGAAGTGTAAGTTTTAATATATCCATAGATATACCATCATGACCAACAGAGCTACCATTCATCACTAAGCTTAAAATTGTATCTTCATCCACCGATAGAAGTCTAAATACAGATTTTTTTCAAACAACTTAATATTATCCGTTATCCAAGGTTTCCTAGGTTTCGAAATTCTAACTGACCTCACTGAAGCATAAATGTCAAACAAATTCAATAATTGATCATTAAAAAACTGTAATTTATCATGAATGGACACTGCAAAAATAGCCTGAAATGGTACCAGGCTTAATGCAGCAACGAAGGAATCATAATTGAATGAGTTAAAGTCTCTATATGTGTAACAGAACGAAGATGGTTTAAGCATTGTACAGCTATTGACAAAAAACCAGTTCAAAATTTGATAAGTCATGAAAAAAAGGCAACATCGTTATGATAACATCCAGACCATCCAGCTGATTGACAATACTTAAATATCTAAAAGACTTAGAAAAAGAAAAATAATTTGAATTAGTGTTGTTGCAAAAATTAAAATCATTTCATTATCAAAACCTTGACGATTTTCTCTGAGAACTCTTGCTATGTACAATAAGCCAATAAAAACCTTTAGTTCTCCTTTAGTCTAAGATATCGTCTATGAACAAATTAAGCCAACAATGAATCGCAGAGTTTCTGAGAGTTTCTGAGGTTTGTATTCATTTGCAAACTCCTTGCCATCTATTTCTGAATCGTCTCCAAATTCTTGTTCGCTGAGTCCTCAAGTCCTCATTTTTGCGAATAATTTAGAAAATTTTGTTTTCATACCCTAAATCTTGCAACACTTGTTGAGTTTGCAGCAAATTCCTTAGTCTTCCCCCATAATGTCTCAAACATATCAAATGGAACACTTATTTAGAAAGCAAGAACTCACACCGAAATACACNGGGTTTAGCCGCACGTCTCGAAAGACGGCTAAACCCGAATGATTCTAGTTCTAGGTATAGTGTTAGTTCTAGTTTTACGTTTGAACTGTCACTAGAACTAACACTATACCTGGAACTGGAATCATTTGGGTTTAGCCGCACGTCTCTAAAGACGGCTAAACCCGAATGATTCTAGTTTCACGTCTAGTGTTAGTTCTAATTTTACACTAGCACTGTTACTATGTAGAACTAACGCTATACCTAGAACTAGAATCATTTGGGTTTTGCCGTATGTCTCGAAAGACGGTTAAACAAGAATGATTCTAGTTCTAGGTTCAATTTAAATTTAATTTTATTATTTTGTTTTTGTTTCCTTTTATTATAAAGGAAATTCTTTTTTTTTCTCTCTCGTTTTGTTTTTTTTAAGGGTTGGTGAAAAACAATAAGTCTATTTGGACTGCATTGACTCAACCCTTTTTGATGATGTCACCCCCCATATTTTATTACTTAGTCGTCTTCGGTGTCTCATTTTACATCTTTTATGTCCCATATGTCCTATACCTAACATTTATAGTTTGGGAGATAATTAGGGTTCTTTGAAAAATTCACACTTATCATATCGATATTAACCAAAAGTTAGTGAATAACCAAAAGAAGTGGGGGTTTGAAAGTTTGCAGACCAGCTTTTTTGCTACCAATTGACGTTCTAACTGTAAAATTTGATTATTTTGTATCACACGAAGATTTTAATGCCAAAAGTAACATCTAAATGATAACTTAAAGATATAATTGACAGTTTGACATTCTTAATGACAGGTCAACCTCAATTTTTGCTACCAATTGACATTCTAACTGAAAAAATTCGATCATTTTGCATCACAAGAAGAAAATTTTAACGTCAAAACTGACATTTGAATGACATATTAAATATAAAATTACTATTTTCTTACAATTTGACATCCTTAATGTAGGTCAACCTCAATTTTTACTACTAATTGACGTTTTAACTGTAAAATTTGATTATTTTGCATTAGATGAAGATTTTAATGCCAAAAGTAACATCTAAATGATAGCTTAAAGACAAACTTGACAGTTTGATATTCTAAATGACATATTCAACTTACTTATTTACCTACAGTTACATTGTCAATTGGTAGCAGAATTGACAATGTAACTGTCAAATTCGATCATTTTGCATCACAAGAAAATTTTAACGTCAAAACTAACATTTGAATGACATTGAATGATTTATAATTTATAAATTATAGAAAGTAACGTTGTAGTTGACATTTTTGATTACAAAAAATGAATATCTCAAAAATGACTCAACATAAGTATAGTATAATATGTAACATACAAGAGGCCTAAAAATTAACAAAAATTTCAAAAATTTGGATTTAGGTATAGTGTTAGTTCTAGTTTTACACTAGCTCTATTACTAGAACTAACACTAGAACTAGAATCATTTGGGTTTAGCCACACGTCTGTAAAGACGGCTAGAGTATTAATAAAGGCATGAAAGTGGCGAAAATTCATCATGAGATCAGTGAAGTGTATGGAGAAAACGTTATGAGTGATGGGAAGGTACGGAAGTGGGTGAGACTTTTTAAGGAAGGCCGAAAAAACGTGCATGATGACGAACGAAGTGGGCTCCCTTCAGTCATTAGTGACGCATTGATCCAGAATGTTGATGAAAAAGTGAGACAGAACCGACAGCTTTCCTCAAGTGTCAAGAAGTATGCTTTATGCAATTGTGACAGAACGTTAAATTATCGAAAGTTATGCTCACGCTGGGTACCAAAAATGCTGCCTGAGGAGCACAAAAGCAAGCGTTTAGCCAGTTCTTTGACTTTCTTAGAGCGGTACAGTGAGGAAGGTGACGAGTTTTTAAGCCAAATTGTCACAGGCGATGAAACATGGGTGGCCAACGTTACACCAGAGTCAAAGCAGCAATCAATGGAATGGCGGCATTCATCATCACCCGAGAGAGTGAAGTTCAAGCAAACAATTTTAGCCAAGAAAATCATGTGTACTGTTTTTTGGGACGGGAAGGGGATATTGCTTGTGAAATTTTTGCCTCGTGGTGACACAATAAACTCTGCGACTTATTGTGAGACCTTAAAAAAACTGCGCCCTGAAATCCAAAACAAAAGACGGGGCATGCTGAGTAAGGGAGTTGTGTTGCTTCATGACAATACTCGTCCACACACGGCCAATCGAACTCAAGAACTGATCGGATCGTTCACAGTCTGGGAACAATTTGATCACCCTCCATACTGCCCTGATCTAGCGCAAAGTGACTATCACGTATTCATGTATTTGAAGAGGCATTTGGGTGGTCAGCGCCTCGACAATGATGACGATGTCAAAAGGATCGCGTTGCAGTGGCTATCTAATCAAGCGGCAGCTTTCTACGAGGATGGTATTCAAAAGTGCCTTAATATCGGTGGGAATTATGTAGAAAAGTAGCTTAAAGTACAGGCATTCATGTAAAAATAAAATTGTTAAGAAATGTCTATTGGTTTTATTTTTATTTAGAAACGGTCCTTACTTAAAAAACACGCCTCGTACAATAAGCCAATAAAAACCTTTAGTTCTCCTTTAGTCTAATATCGCCTATGAACAAATTAAGCCAACAATCGATCGCAGAGTTTCTGAGACAGGTTTGTATTCATTTGCAAACTCCTTGCCATCTATTTCTGAATCATCTTCACGTTCTTTTAAGTCTCCTTGATCACTCCTCTCCCAAATTCTCGATCTAGTCCAAGTCATCCTCAAGAAAAGCCAACATTAGATAGATTGCAGAATTTTGAGACATTTTTGCGAATAATTTAGAAAATTTTGTTTTCATACCCTAAATCTTGCAACACTTGTTGAGTTTGCAGCAAATTCCTTAGTCTTCCCCCATAATGTCTCAAACATATCAAATGGAACACTTATTTAGAAAGCAAGAACTCACACCGAAATACACAGAAATCGAAGAAGCAAACCAAATTAACCAAGTTTCATCATTTTTTTACATTTAGAAAACTTAACGGTTTAAAATCAGCCATGTTTTCCTCGTATTGCTGATATTTTTCATCAATATGAATTCGGAATGAATTATAGTTCATCAAAGGCGCAACGATTGTCTCTATAGATTACTGAATGGAGAACAAAGAGAAATAACAATTTATCAATTCAGCATGATGATAGTGATGACATCACTACCTAAATGAATAAAATGTAATAATAGCAATGTATATCGCTTGGAAAGCTCATATTTGGACATCAATTCCGTAATCCCCTCCACCTAGCATATATATTATGTATATAGTGAACTTATAATTCCTCTCAAAATCCTTCCAAAATCATCTTTTTAAAAACGATTAATTACGTAATGGAAACGTTTTCGTTACCCCGATTTGTGTTGGAACCCACTTAGACAGTCACATTTACCCCCCAGGATGAAACCCTTAAAATTAATCCCATTTATACAACTTCCCCCCGGACTTGAAGCTTTTGATCTCCGGGCAACCAACGACGCGGTCTTTTCTGTCTTTTCATTCCCACAAATATCAAGACCATTATTAGCTGGAATTAAAGGGATGGTTGGGTTGAGCTTTGTTTTGGTGTCGCAAACCTCGGTGCACTTACGAATTCATTACGTTGAAAAACTTGTAGCCGACAAAAACACCTGTTCTCTCGTAGCGACCCGACCGTCCGGAGGATTTGAATTATTATTATGCCGGGAATCGATATTTTAGACGTTAGCGGATACAGGTGGCGGCAGTGGTGGGGAAATGTTCCTGTGGAAACGTTGAAGGGAAAGCGGGGTGTGTTGGAAAACAGCTCTACAGGTAGTTCCAACATCCCCGTCGTCGTCGTCTTCTAAACGCGAGCTTCCCCAAGTTTCTCCAAGAAGGGGAAAGCTGACCTACATTGTTTTTAGGCGAGGTTCAATTTGTTAGAGGGAAGATCGTGCACGTTGATACCACTAATACAACAAAGACCGGTTGTATTGTTGTTTTGCGATGCGAGAAACTCTGGGGTTGGTAATAATAAGGATTATTTATTACTTAAATAACTTCACCACAAAATTTTTTTAATAAAATTTTTATTCTACCTTTTAACTAAAACTTAATTCTTTAATAACCTTGTCTAAAACTTCATCAATATTTGCATAACCGCCACTAATTCCTACCTCCTCTAAAAGTTCAACGGCTTCTTCTTCACTAAGACTATCATCCAAAGCTAATAATTGCTTGACAAGCTCGTTAGTTGAAATACATCCTTTCGCATCATCATTTTCAAAAACTTTTAACGCTTCTTTTAGCGTTTCCCTTTCCGTTTGATCGTCGTAACAACGAGCCATATAATCCATAAAGTTTGCGATTTCAATAGTACCCACTGACTCGGGATCGAGGATTTTAACGGCTCGTGTTAATTTGTGTGGAGCAAACTCGATGTTAAGGGTCTTCATTAGAGCTTCCAGATCCTCCGTTCTAATGATGCCGTCTCCATCCTTCTCGAATTGCTTGAATATGTTCCAAATCTTCTTATGCAAATCAATTTTCGATTTATCCTCATTCATCGTTATATTTTTTTTACTATAATTTAGATTTTAATTCGAATCTTCTAAATTGTTCAAAACGTCAAGTTTGAATGATCAATTAATTTTAATTAATTGTTTCAATGCTTTCTTAATTTAATAAATAATTTTTAATTTAATTTTGTTAATGAAGATGGACTACTTTATGAGTTGTTAATGAAATTTCACGGCGATTTATCTCGAAACTTTAAACCTTAAGGGTGTAAGCCGATTTTCCCAATTAGTTAATCGGTTTACAATTTGCTAAGTGCAGCAGTGGCAAAGATTCCGATTAGACTAATTCAGGAAAACCCCATTTACGTTTCGCTTTACATCTCGTAGCGTTTGTACTTTGAAGAATAAGTGTTTTAAACGCTAATCTATAAATTCGATTGTATCGATTTGTTTAGGATGTTTACTTAAGCGTAAATCTGTAGGATTCAGGATGCCGAATCCAATTAACATCGAATTACACAAATTACGTGCTTAATCTTAATCGATGTAATTGCTTAATTAGGGTTATCAATCAATTATTTGCGAATAAATTTATATCGGGATATTTTTTTGGGGATGGTGTTAGGTTTAAGGAATTAATTGCAGCGTAAGGTTTAAGTTGATTTATAACGGTTACCGCGACCCCATGTGCTATTTTACGAGGGGATTTAAATTTAGCAAACTACTCTCACAAGACAAACACGTAACCGAATTTCAGAGACGTCTACTAAAGCAAATTCCGCGGTAATTATACTGTGTACATAATGAAATAAACGCCCTTACATTTAAAACGTTAATCACAACAATTTTAAATTAAAATTTATTCTGACATGATTTATTTTTTTTTTATTAATTATAATTACTTTATAACTTTTGGGTAACTTCTCATCTCTTTTTCTGGCCATCGTTATTAGTTATTCACCCGCGTCCAATGAGGTAAAGAGATAAAGTTTTGACCCCAATTACGGCAGGTTTAGCTACTAATAGTTGATCGTGAAAAATCAGTAAAAAATCGTACAAGTCATAAGTTGTTGAAAAATATGGATAAAAATCAAGACATGGAATTGAGACGTTTACGAAGAAGGGGTAGAGAAGAAGAAGAAGAAGGTAAACCTGCTGCTCTGGACGAGCTAGGACCCAACTCAATGATGGAGAACACCGTAATTTTATCATTCATACGCATTTTGCATCACGAAAATGTAATTTGGCACAATGCAGTATGCAAACAGATTACTCTGTTTCGGTCTGAAAACAGCATGACAACAGATAAATTATAAAAAAACTAATACTGGATATTCCTATTCTGAAGCTAAATTGATGCGCTATTTAATTTAATTTAATTTGTAATTTTGTCATAGAGGTATCGTGGGATCCGTGTCATGATTATTTTGTGAAACAATAACAAAGTAAGCAGTTCACATCTAGAACTCATTTTTAACCAGTTCACATCCTTCAGCCTGTGCGATACTCGGTCATACTTCCTGATACCAAAGATGTAACGAAAACAGCAATTTTGTACTTTCTGAATACGATAAGCCGTATCCATGGCGATTGCTGCGTGGTAAATCGGTGCCATATAATTAAATTGTGACAAGACGTAAGCATCACATAATTGTTTTTTGATATTATATGACAATTAAGCTGTATGAGGATATAATTGCCTAAGGTAGAAATAAGCTTTCTTTATATAATCATTAATCTGCCCACAATATCTAAAACTATTATCAAGTGTTAGACCCAAACACTTCACATTATCCACACGCTTCAAAGGTATATTTCCCAATTTTAGATCAATATTAACCTGAACACTCTCTACAGAACTTCCAAAACATATCCACATATTCCATCTTCAATTGATGGAAATTAGCAATCTTACGGATAATTTGTAAATCTCTATTTAAATTTGTCTCCACATTATGACTCTCGCCACGACGAAATGATTGGTATATTTGAATATCATCAGCATACATTAATATTAAAAGAGGACAAATTGGCAGCGAAACTAGAAGTATAGAGTGCAAAGAGACCTGAACCAACAATAACTTCTTACGATTCCCGATTAGTAGTTAAGTAGTTTTGTATTAGTGCCACGGCACCACGACCCAGTCCCAACAACCCCATTATATGACAGAGCAATGTATGATCAATGGTGTCAAATGCCTTAGAAAAATCCAGGAGTACCACCGTTGTAAGAATACCTTTATCAGCTGCACCCAAAACATCATCAGTGAGTCTTAGCGTAGTTGTAGTGCAACTATGATCAGCGTGAAAACCAGATCGCGGAACTGGTAACAAGTTGTTCTGTTCAATATAAGCGATTAATTGATTTTTCATTACTTTTTCCAAGATTTTAGACATAGTTGGCAAAATACTGATAGGACGCAAGTCCCCACAATCAACTAGATTCTTTTTCTTTGGCAATGGAACCACAACAGCCCGTTTCTATTGATCAGGAAAAATATTTTCGATCATACAAGAATTTAAAATGTTTGTCAAATACGGCAACACATCCGAAGCATACTAATACCAACCAAGTCAGTCCCCATTGAAGAAGAGATCATTGAAATAACTTCCATAACCTCAGACGTGGTAACCGTACGAAATGAAAATACATTGGAAGTGAAAGCTGCAAACTCTTTATAGCAATCATCAGTCTCTCCCAACGTAATATCGTCAAAGATATCTTGAACGGTATGAACAAAAAAATTACTTATGCCATCAGGATTCTGCAACTGTGTGGGTAATTGACTGTTATTATGAGTCATAGAATTAATATGCAAAAATTTTTTTTGGGCTAAAGATTAAGCTTTTCTTCATCTTCATCCTATCTAGCAGTGGCTAGCACGACTTAGATCGTTTAAAGAGAGATGGTATTTAGATAAGTTTTCGAGGTTGATTTACATTTCTATTAGCATTGTAAGATCGCCAACTAAATAATAATTCCCAAACTTGTCCAAAATATAGTTCATAAAACCGATTGTACTTTGCAAACAACTTTTTACTGATCAAAAGTGTCTAAAATCATGTAAAATTTGTGTAATTATGTAAAAATATCCAAATACAAGTTTATATTTTACAAAGATCTTATAAAACAAAAACTCCTAAGAGATTTCTATTTGAGAACCCGTTGAGATCAAACCTTTTCTAGGAGATTCGCCTTATAGAGATCAAAGGTAAAGGGGGGCAACAGGGTAGGTCGGGGGGCAATATCGTCAAATGAACAACCAGCGAGGCGTGAGAGGCCAAGTACATTTAATCTCGTTCTTCGGACGAGTCCCGAGGTACCTTCGAGTTCATTTGCTACACTGATGGAAGCCCCTAAGTCCCGTGGTCTCTACTCCAATGAATTACTCCTTCGGATATTTGCAAGTATTAATATCTACAAGTAATTTTCTCTTACTAATTTTTCTTTTATAATAAAATAATTTTACAATTAAATTAATTTCGTTATACAAGAATTTGTTTTTGTGTTATTTATGAGTTTTCGGGGTTAGAGTCGGGTTTTGACGAAGGTGTAACACGACAGTCGTAAGAAATAATCAATGAGCATCGCCCGAAGGAAATGTTCGGGATGTGTATCGGGATAAATAAAAAATAACCTCGTTCGTTGTACGCATTTTCACCGGTTGCCAAGGATTCAACCACACTGCGAAAGACTTTAACAAAGTTTCGGGCAAAACGTAATTACGCCGATACATCTTTTTGACGTGTCAACCGAATTTGGTGGAATTCCCCACGATCCCAAATGCCTCAAGTGTCTAATAAAAAATTTACAAGGACCGGAACCTGACAGTTTTTGCTTATTTCCTTTATTTCGCTAAAAAAATTATTATGTTAATAGAGGCAATTTAAATCAAGTTTGAATTTCTTGAAAGTTTCTTAAGTTGATTACGAATATTCAAGTTTAAAGTGCAAGTGATGTCAATTTTCATCTCGACTGCTTTCTAAATGGGTTACACGAACAGTTCTGAAATCTCAGTAAACGATTATGATTTAAACTAAGATTTGTGTCGGACGCATTTAGCCTGTTAAAGTTATAAAAAGAGTTTAAAGATAACTTTTGCAACTTTAAGTACCCTTTTAAGGTTTTAATAATTTATTAGTATTAAAAATGTATTTAAGCTTATTAAAGAAAACATGCAGAGAATACATAAAATTTCTTGTAAAAACTAAAATCATTTATGACAAACTTTTGCTTTCTTACATTTCTACTCTAGTAACTAAAGTTCTTTGCTGAACTGTATTCAGTTCAACTAATCATACTTAAAAAGTTAAAAGTTAAATTGCGATGCATAGTTTTGAGGGATCCAAATTGGGGGTTGGGTTGTGTGCGAGCAAAACGAGGCTGAAAGTTTGTGAACGCGTTCAACTAACATAAACTCTGGTTTAAAGCCGCTCGTCTATTTATTTAGGGGGCGAATTTTAATGATGATTGCGGCTACTGTCCAAGCTTCCCTCACCAACGGTAAAATTTGCAGTACCATTAAAAAGGGCACGCGTTTTAACCGTTTCACTGCGTCCAATCGTCTGGATAAGCTTCAGGTTTATGACGTTTGCTAAAAAAACAAGCGCCAACAGGTAGAAAGTTACAAAAAAAAATTTGCTGATTTACTATTCACATAAAAAGTTAAAAAAAGGAACCATCTCTTTTTTTAAGCTTATCTCTAAAAGCGGTTGCAATAAATCCTAAAAAAATAGATAAGCTTTATGGATTTTTTATCAACGTTAAAAAAGATTAAATCCAATCGCAAATCAAATCACCAAAAGCACCAAAATCTATTAGATTAATTGCCTTAGTTAGAAATTCCGTTTAATCAAGTTATGCCAAAAACATTATTAGCTGCTATTAAAGGACAACTGTTGGCTTCAACATTTACAAGTTTTGATCTTAACATCTTCTCATCATACTAAATTCACTTTATTCTCGTTTCATTCTAATTATATTTAATATCTTAGCACGTTCGTAACTTGTAACTACTAAGTACTTTGAAACTTAACTTTAGCTTAACCTTAAGCTCTCGACGGTTTCAAAACGAAGGAGAGAAGGAACACCGCCTAGTTCGCTACGCAACAATTACTTAAACCTTGGAAGTACCGGAGCCATTTCCGAAATGGAAACCGTCCGGGCACTTTATCACTTTTAATAATGAAACCGAAACTTCGCAGGTGAACGTTAGAAAAGAAGTAAAACAAGCTGAAGAGATTTACCGCTGCTTTTACATAAACTGTGAAATTCTTGGTGTATTTGTCTTGTTACAGAATTGACGAGATGCGATGATGAACAAATAAAATTGTTAAAGATATTAATTAAAATTATTAATTTTTAAATTTAAAATATGCTATTTGGGTTGCATATTTAATTAATCACAAATTTAATTCACATTTAATAATTTATTTTTATTAAGTTAATTTATTAATATGATGTATTTAATGCTTTATAATTAAAGAAGTTTTATGTTTTTAATTAAAAACGCTTTTTAATACTGTCGATTAAGAAAAATGAGTCATTTGGGTTGCCTATATCAAAAATTAAAATTTTTTTAATAAAATTATTATTTATTTCTAATGTGCAAAATTAAGTTGTTTATATTTTGTGATTTAATCTTATATTTAAAATCAGAAATACTTTATTTAATGTTATTAATATTTTATTAATCAATTAATCACAAATTTAATTCATATTTAACAATTTATTTTTATTAAGTTAATTTATTAACAAATTAATATGATTTATAATGANATCTTATATTTAAAATCAGAAATACTTTATTTAATGTTATTGATTTTAATTAATCACAAATTTAATTCATATTTAACAATTTATTTTTATTAAGTTAATTTATTAAGAAATTAATATGATTAATATGATTTAATATGATGTATTTAATGTGTTATAATTAAAGAAGTTTTATGTTTTTAATGAAAAACGCTTTTTAATGTCGATTAGGAAAAATGAGTCATTTGGGTTGCCTATATCAAAAATTAAATTTTTTTTAATAAAATAATTATTATTTAATTATTATTTATTTCTAATGTGCAAAATTAAGTTGTTTATATTTTGTGATTTAATCTTATATTTAAAATCAGAAATACTTTATTTAATGTTATTAATATTTTATTAATCAATTAATCACAAATTTAATTCATATTTAACAATTTATTTTTATTAAGTTAATTTATTAACAAATTAATATGATTTAATATGATGTATTTAATGCGTTATAATTAAAGAAGTTTTATGTTTTTAATTAAAAACGCTTTTTAATATTGTCGATTAAGAAAAATGAGTCATTTGGGTTGCCTATATCAAAAATTAAAAAATTTTTAATAAAATTATTATTTATTTCTAATGTGCAAAATTAAGTTGTTTATATTTTGTAATTTAATCTTATATTTAAAATCAGAAATAATTAATTTAATTTTTATCTTTTTTACGGCAAGATTTGCAAAATCTCGATACAAAATTAAAATTAACACAAGCAATATATTTTCATTAATAAAAGAAATATTGTGCTTCTATTAATTAATTAATTAATTTTATTAACTTACATAAATATATTAAACCCTAATTTATATTAAATTAAAAATTTTTTAAATTTTATTTCCGCCATCTATTGGGTTATAGTGTAACTACAAATAAAATTCAAAAATTTAAATTTACTATTTGATTTATTTATTTAATATGCAATTCATGTTCAATATTGATTTAATTTTTTTTTATTTATAAATAAGTAGTAAATACACAATTTTAGTCATAAGATAATCGAAAAATCTGTAATGTCAAAAGATGTCGCTATAATAATAGAAAACTTTGAGGTTAGAATTTTTATTCAACCTATATACAGTATTTTTGATAAACGAATTCGGTTACGATTTGAGTTCGTGGTTATTATTAAAATAGAATTTGATGACATCGATAACACATTTCTCGTTATCCAGCTTTAATCATGCGGTATCGTTGAATAACTGTTAACGGTCATTTTTTTTGAGGTTAGTTAACCTTGCAATAAAATCAACAAAACCAACATCATTAGCAACAACAAGAAAGAAAACAAGATTTAAGCATATTAATAAGAATCGTAATGTTTATTTTAAACGTGTACGAGCCTTGATGTTTATAATTACATATATTCCACTGGGATTTATATGGAAATGGATGGAAACAATAGGATTGCTTATTGGATGTCCGATAAAAAGTTGCAGAAAATTAACAGGAAGGAATTTCAAAAGTCTTGTTTAAAATATAACTTTGAAATATATGAGGTGAGATTTATTAAATTTTTTTAATAAAACATATTAATATTTTTGTGTGATTCTTTTAGTTAGATTTAAATAAGAGTCTGGATTCACAGGGACCTTTTGCAGTATTCCTACATAAACTGACAGATATTATAGCTTTAGAAGTTCAAAATGATCCAAAGGTAACGTTTTATTAAATTAAAATTGTTTCCAATATCATAATCACAATGAAAATAAAGATAAGAGCCAAAAAAGAGTCCTTGCTTATAATCGTTTATGTTTCAACACTTATCACTTTATATATAATCCTTTTTATAAATAAAAAAATTGATTTTGATTACAGACTGTAAAAGTCCCATTAATAATTAAGAAAAATGATAGGCAAGAATACATACATCTCAAAATCTCATCTGTGATTTGAAGCCTGCCTTTAATTCTACCTTTAATCATATAAATATTATTACTAAAATGTCTACAAGTTAACTTTTTTATTAAAAAAACTGAGAATTTTGTTTGGAAGTGTTATAAAAGAATTTTTTTTGTGAATGTATTATACACATATAAAGATAAGATTAGAAAATATTTATTCTCTCTATATTTATTTAGAGCTGAATGAGTAATATTTGTTTCAGAGTAAATTATTAATCAAGAAAATTGAAGATTACATTGAAAAACACCCCAATCTAATAGTAATAGATCCAATACCAAAAGTACGTCAACTTTTAAGCAGATACAACTCATACAGTATAATAAAATCAACAAATTTATCTAAATACGGAATTTTTACGCCAAATTTTTGTGAAATTACAATAAACGATGCGGATAAAGTCACAAAACAATTAAAAAACTCCGAAGTTACTTATCCATTTATTTGTAAACCGATTCTTGGGCATGGTTCAAAACAAGCCCATCTAATGTCAATTATTTTCAATGAAGACCACCTGGCCGATTGCAGAATTCCTTGCGTCGCTCAATCGTTCGTTAATCACAACGCCGTTCTTTATAAAGTATTTGTTGTTGGTTCGAAATTTCATATTGTTGAAAGACCGTCGTTGAAAAATTTTTATGAATCCGACCGTGAAACCGTTTACTTCGATAGTTGCGATATTTCGAGCGCCAAAGCTCAAAGTTGCTTGTCAATACTCGACCCGGAAGATGAAAATGTTATTAGAAGAGAGCCGAATTTGTTGATTATACAGAAAATGGCTGAAATAGTTAGGAAAAATTTCGAAATGGATTTATTGGGGATTGATGTTGTTATTGAAAATACCACTGGAAGGTATGCTATTATTGATGTCAACGCTTATCCTGGTAAGTTAATAAATAAATAAAATTGTTTAAGGGGTAACACCACTGTAAAAATTTAACATAAAGCACTTCTTTGCGATTTTTGGAGTTTAGGAGAATATACTATTATTCTTAAGCATGCATTGAAGAGCACAAAAAAGTTTTATAATACAGAAATAATACAAAATGGCAAAAATATCAATGTACATGAGTATAGCTACAGAAATACATAGGGAATTTTGAAAATATTAGTTTTTGATTGATTTGTGAGCAACAAAAGTTGACAATAATTTGTTAATAAAAAATTCAGAAATTAACTTATCAAAAATCCCCTAAGTACTTCCCTGTAGGATGTAATTTTAAATATGTGGTAAAAAGTTGAAATCGGTTGAATGAAAATTGTTCAACTTAAAATACTGCGCGCTATTTTAAAAAATCGTGTTTCAAGAAAAACGTATTTAATGTTTTGACATGAGTTTTGGTTATAAAAAATTAACTGCATATAATTTTTTACCATTAATCTGCTATACCACGACTATAAAGCTGTCCTTTTCTGAATTTTATCCGCTTTGCATTGGCTTCAAGGCATATTAATCTCCAACGTTCTCATAATTCTCAATTTGTCATACAGTCGTTAAAATTGCACACAGCAATATCAAGAAGAAGAGCAAAGAGTCAAGTAAAGCAGAGAGTAAAGCGGCGAAAACAAATGACCGTAAGCAAGTGTGAGGATGCATGGTCAGGCGCTGAGCAGTGAGCCATAGTACTGTTAAAAACGAGGCAGATTCATTTTCGTCGCTCTCATCGCAGCTAACCAAAGAAACATCTTCATAAAAAACATCCTCATCATCATATAAATTATGACTTGCTCAATAAGTTATGGGAAGCTGTTGCAGCAGAAGACCATGATATTGGAAAAACATTGTGTCAGATAAAGCAAACTAAACTGCTGGAAAATCAATACTCTAAACCAAAAGATGATGATCAAAGCTTTTTCGATAATTTACTCAATAACATAAAACTATTACCACAACTTTATATGATCTGAGCTACAAAAATGAAAGTCAGCAACAGCCTCTCCTGATAGCATTTTGCAAGAGTTATTATCACATTTAAGTAATGTCACGGATGATATTAGACAGTCTCATTATTGATATTTTCATGGTTCAATGGGTTGATGATTGAGGTTGGTTCATTTTTTGGTTATTTTATGATGTATTTTACCCAAAATATAATCAATCGTTGAAGAGTTCATGCGAAAATATGAATGAAAAGTCGCTATGATCAAAACCGCTTGAATATGAGCTTGGAGCTAATATCCAAACAGTAGAATTGAAGCTCTCATTGCTGTTTTGAAGTAGTAACTTGTATTCTGGTAGTAACTTCACATTACTACCAGAATACAAAATATTGTTGGTAGAAGACTAGATATTGCTGCAAAGGATTAGATATTGCTGGCAGAAGACTAAGTATTGCTAGTGCAAGACTAGATATTACAAATGAAGCACATCCTTCTTACAGAAGACTTTACACTACTACCCTAAGACGAAATACTGTTGTTAGAAGACTAGATATTGCTGCAGAAGACTAAGTATTACTAATGAAGGACTAGATGTTGCAAACAGAAGATTTCACACTACTACCAGAAGACGAAATAGTGTTGGTAGAAGACTAGATATTGCTGCAAGAGACTAGATATTGCTGGCAGAAGACTAAGTATTGCTAGTGAAAGACTAGATATTGCAAATGAAGCACATCCTTCTTACAGAAGACTACACACTACTACTAAAAAGCAAACACTGTCAGCAGAAGACTTAATTTTACTGTCAGAAGACCAAATTATGTTGTTAGAAGACTAGATATTACCAATGGTATAAATCCCGTTTAAATTTTTGTCCAACACTTGTTAAAATTGCATCCCTCGCTTCCCCATTCTTTAGAATTAGTATTCCAAAGAACTGAATTTTTTTCATACATTTCAATTAATTGAAATATGTCTTCTTGGGACTATTTTCTTTTAGGCATCATTTTTAAACGTGTTTTATCGAGAAAACTCGCAGCAAAATTCGAACCATGTTCGTTTTTTAACAGTTACTCTGACGATAGATAAATTGTGCGTGTCCACTTGAGTACAAGTCTCAACCTGTTCACTCTCCGAATGTTGGTGAAGACTCTCTGATAGTTACTCTCAGATGCGTGTCGACCAGAAAATATACTCTCGATAGCTTCTCTCGGGGGCATTTCTCGCAACTGGACACCTAGCTTAAGGCCATCTTAGACTATAATCATACAATTACCCAATTTCAAGAAAGAGAGGGAAAAAGTTTTACATGAAGATTTTCTTTCATTTATTGGATCAAACTATTTGGAATTGTCGTGTGCTTTATAGAAAAAAAAGGCAGCAAATTACATGCATAGTTTCGATTAGATCTGGCAGAGGCACTAATTGAACAAAATAAAGTTGAAACTACATCAACAAGTTCAGCGAGAGGACGGCCAAGAACAACATCAAATCCACTGTAGACTGTAGCTGACGGATTTTGTGCCCCAACGAAAAATAAACAAAATGCAAGCAGAAGATGTATTGTTTGCTGTTCTAAAAAGGATGAATGAGGGAAGAAAGTCAGGAAAGAAACAAGATATTGCTGTAAGGTACATGATGTTGGATAGATGATTTAGTCAAAGAAAATAAAATGGTGAAAAACCTAAGGCCATCTTAGATTATAATCATACAATTACCCAATTTCAAGAAAGAGAGGGAAAAAGTATTACATGAAGATCTTCCTTCATTTATTGGATCAAACTGTTTGGAACTGTCATGAAAAAATGGAGGCAGCAAATTACTTGCACAGTTTAGATTAGATCTGGCAGAGGCACTAATTGAACAAAATAAAATTGAAACTGCATCAACCAGTTTAGCGAGAGGACGGCCAGGAACAACACCAAATCCACTGCGACTGACGGACCGCCATTTCCCCGATTTTGTGCCTCCAACGAAAAATAAACAAAATGCAAACAGAAGAGGTGTTATTTGCTGTTCTGAAAAGGACGAAAGAAAGGAAGAAATTTTCTTTTGGGAAGAAAGTCAGGAAAGAAACAAGATACTGCTGTAAGGAATGTGATGTTGGACTTTGTGTAATTACATGTTTCAAAATGTATGATATGCAGAAATATTTTTAATACTTTATACTTTTTATTATTATATTTTTTTTAATTCTACCTTGGTGTTACCCCTTAAATATTAAATTTTTAACGTAACTTTGTTTCAGGATACGATGGTTTCCCAAATTTTTTCGACGTCTTATTAGAATGCATTTCAAGTAAAATATTGTAAAAATAAGTTCTTAACAAGAAAAATCTAAAAGTGTAGGTTAAAAAAAGTATTTTGTATTACTTATTTTTTTAATTTTGTCTTGTTTTTACTTGCTACACATTATCAATAGCATCATTTATTATAAACGTTTATGGTAGCTATAAGTTTCATTTCCAGCTCGCATTTATATTTAATTATGTACTAATTTTTCAGGGCAGTATCTATATATAACTATCTGAATTTTGCTCGTTCCTACACATTTCTAGTCATAGGTACATATACCGGGAGATAAAAGCGAATACCATTTAAAGGTTTCTTAAACCTTTATTAATCTTCTTTTTCTTAACTATTATTAATAATTCATCTTTTTTGTAAGTTCCCTTTTTACATTTTATGTAAATACGAATCAAATGCGTATTTTGATACAATAATTAAAAAGAAATGTATGTATATAATTATAAACGATATGAATAATACCGTAGGGAAGTTTGTTAATTTTTAAATATTTACGTATTATACAAATTGTTTCTTTTTTCTATGAGGTTTTTTATATATAACTCGTTAAAAGTAAGTACAAATCGTTATTGGGATCGGAGCTAAAAATCTGTTCTAGTCGTAGGATCAAGCAAAAGGGCGAAGAAACAATGAACATCACATCTTTATTTTCATATTTTTGTATAAATTGGATCTTGTACGACCTCATAAGCGTTGTTATTCTAATTAAACTAGTCCATAAGTGATTTTATGGATTTACAACATGCTATTCCATACAAATCAATTCCTATGTACTTACTTAGGTTTACGCGATTGTATATTTAGGATGATAATAATAGAAGATTTTGTACTTTCATATAGTATTAACAATAAAAATTATTAAAACATTTTTTAAAAATTTTTTCAAATCATAGTAACTTTTAGTTTTTACTGTTGGTATCAATTGACAACTAGGCGTCAATTTGACGTATACAAATCTGTTAGTGATTGTCAGAAAAGGGCGTTTTTTGTGTTTACATCCTTACTCATCGTTTTATGCGCTTAAAAAGGTAACGAAAACTATTTTTTTCGCTTTAAAACCCGTCGAAATCAAAAAAAAATATTCCAGGTGATTTTTTACGAAAAATATCGATACTTTTCGCCGAACAGGAAGTTGATGTAGACTTACCCAAAAATGGCTTGGAGATTCAAAGCGTCTAAATACAAAAATGCGGCTCCGATCGTGCCGAAAATGGAAAATACCGTGCGGGATATCTGTATTGGATCGTATCAAACGTATGGGAATAATATTGCGGCGTCTGGAAAGTTTATGGCTTTTAATTGGGATCATGCAGGGTCAAGTTTAGCGGTTTTACCTTTGGATGATAGTGGTAGGAAAAGTAAATTAATGCCTTTACTGCATGCACATACTGATACTGTGACGGATATGGATTTTTCGCCTTTTCATGATGGTTTATTGGCAACTGGCTCTCAAGATTGTTTGATTAAAATCTGGAACATTCCTGAAGGGGGATTACAAGAATCTTTAAGTAATCCTGAATGTGTTTTTTCTTATAAACAAAAAAGGGTGGAAACAGTTGGGTTCCATCCTATAGCGGAGTTTTTATTACATTCCACTTCTTATACAACCCTTAATTTATGGGATTTAATTTCTGAGAAAGAAATATTTTCTAACCAAGACCACATGGAGGTCATTCAATCAGTTAGTTGGAAACGTGATGGAACCCTTCTTGCTACCTCTTGCAAAGACAAACAAGTTCGAATTATCGACCCCAGAATTCAAAATTCTTGTGTACAAACCGGAAACGGACATCAAAGCATCAAAGACTCCCGCATAGTTTGGTTAGGAGAGACAGATAAAATCCTAACAACTGGATTTGACGCACAAAGATCACGACAAATCATGATTAGAGATGTAAGAAAATTTGGAACTCCTGAGAAATCACTCGAATTGGATTGTTCAACAGGAATTTTAATGCCACTATATGATTCTGACACAGGAATGTTGTTTTTGGCTGGAAAGGGTGACTCAACGATTGGTTATATGGAAGTCACTGATAAAGAGCCATATTTAGTTGAGGGAATAAGGCATTCAGGCGAACAAACTAAAGGAGCTTGTTTGGTTCCTAAAAGAGCTTTGAATGTTATGCAGGGAGAAGTTAATCGTATTATGCAATTAACTAGCACTTCTGTGATACCAATCATGTATCAAGTGCCTAGAAAAACATACAGGTAATGTTAAAATTAATTTTTTTAATTTTATTTATTTGTGTTCATTCATAGGGATTTCCATGGGGATTTGTACCCTGAAACAGCAGGTTACACAACAGAAATCATAGCAAGTGACTGGATGGAAGGAAAAAATATACCACTGCCAAAAATAAGTTTAGATCCAGCAAAAAAACCCAATGGAGATAATCCCATTGTTGTAGGTTGTTTAAAAACAATTTTTTTCAATAATTAAGTCTAATTTTTGTTTAGGTACATAAAGGTTCATTATCAGATCTTCGAGAACTAGTTAAGAATCGACCAAAAATTCAGCAAAAACCACCACCTCCAGCGGAAAAGGTAAAAATAGATAACATAAAGCCTCCTCTTATACAACCTCAGGTAACGGAACAACCGGAACTTTCTAAGCCGACGGTTCCGGAAGCGGAACCTTCGCCTCCTCCGTGCGATGAAAGTCCCACGAAAGGTATGCAAGATGCGGTGGTGACGAAAGATGTGGTTCCCCCGAAACCGCTACCGCGTACTTCTCGGGCGGGGTCTGTTTGTGACAGTCCTGATGATGCTATCAGCGCTTCAAAACCGATCGCTAGGCCTAGAACTAACAGTTGTGCCCCAGTAATCACCTCCGTTAATCCTAAAGTGCCCATCGCTGGTGGCTATAAGGTGCCTAATGTGTGAATTTGTAATAAAAAAATATGCAATTGGTTGTTTTCCTTTTTTGGTATGGTAAAATCTCGATATAACGGACTTGGACTTCTTTAAAATGGAATTCGGATATCAAGCAATCCTCTAATATTTGTTCTATTCCATGTTTATAGATAAATTCGATATTCCCTGAATAATCTATAGGATGTATAATTCAAGGACACTAGAACTAAAAATATTGGGGTTTAGCCGCCTTTAAATTAAATTTAACATATCATTACCATTAAAAATACAGATGATATGATTTTTTTAAAACCAAGATGATTTTTCTTCAACAATTTTTTTCTTGGTATTTTATTAATACTACCATATAGTTTTTATATCATGTCATAAACTAGAATCTTTAAGCTTCAATTTAACATATATATCATATCCTGACCATTAAAAATACAGATGATATAATTCTTTTTAAAACAAGATGTTATTTTGTATTTGCAAATTTGGCAGTTTCTTCAACAGTTTTTTTCTGGGTATTTTATTAATATTATCATATATTTTTTATATCATATCATAAATTGGAATCTTTAAGCTTCAATTTAACATATATATCATATCATGACCATTAAAAATACAAATGATATGATTTTTTGAAAATTTGATGATATTTTGTATTTGCAAATTTGGTAGTTTCTTCTTCAACAATTTTTTTCTGGGTATTTTATTAATACTATCATATATTTTTTATATCATATCATACACTGGAATCTTTAAGCTTCAATTTAACATATATATCATATCATTACCATTAAAAATACAGATGATATGATTTTTTTAAAAACAGAATGTTATTTTATATTTGTAAATTTGATAGTTTCTTCTTTAATATTTTTTTTTCTGGATATCTTATTAATACTATCATATAGTTTCTATATCATATCATAAACTAGAATCTTTAAACTTCAATTTAACATATATATCATATCATGACCATTAAAAATACAAATGATATGATTTTTTGAAAATTTGATGATATTTTGTATGTGCAAATTTGGTAGTTTCCTCTTCAACCAATTTTTTCTGGGTATTTTATTAATACTATCATATATTTTTTATATCATATCATAAACTAGAATCTTTAAACTTTAATTTAGCATATATATCATATCATGACCATTTAAAATACAAATGACATAATTTTTCTGAAAATTAGTTGTTATTTTGTTTTTGCAAATTTGGCAGTTTCTTCTGTAACAATTTTTTCAGGGCATTTTATTAATACTATCATATATTTTTTATATCATATTATAAACTAGAATCTTTAAGCTTCAATTTAACATATATATCACATCATTACCCTTAAAAATACAGATGATATGATTTTTTTAAAAAGATTGTTATTTTAAATCTACAAATTTAACAGTTTCTTCTTTAATGTTCTTTTTCTGGATATTTTATTAATACTATCATATAGTTTTTATAGCATATCATAAACTAGAATCTTTAAGCTTCAATTTAACATATATATCATATCATGACCATTAAAAATACAAATGATATGATTTTTTGAAAATTTGATGTTATTTTGTATTTGCAAATTTGGCACATTTTGTTCTTCAACAATTTTTGTCTAGGTATTTTATTAATACTATCATATATTTTTGTATCATATCATAAACTAAAATCTTTAAGCTTCAATTTAAGATATATATCATATCATCCCGTTAAATATACAGATGATATGATTTTTTTAAAAACATTATTTTATATTTGGAAATTTGACAGTTTCTTTAATATTTTTTTCTGGATAGTTTCCTAATACTATCATATAGTTTTTATATCATATCATAATCTAGAATCTTTAAGTTTCAATTTAACATATATATCATATCATGACTATTAAAAATACAAATGATATGGTTTTTTGAAAATTTGATGTTATTTTGTATTTGCAAATTTGGCAGTTTCTTCTTCAACAATTTTTGTCTAGGTATTTTATTAATACTATCTCATATTTTTTATATCATATCATAAACTAGAATCTTTAAGCTTCAATTTAAGATATACATCACATCATTACCATTAAAAATACAGATGATATGATTTTTTTAAAGACAAGATATATTTTATATTTGCAAATTTGACAGTTTCTTCTTTAATTTTTTTTTTCTGGTTATTAATACTATCATATAGTTTTTATATCATATCATAAACTGGAATCTTTAAGCTTCAATTTAACATATATATCATATCATGACCATTAAATATACAAATGATACGATTTTTTGAAAATTTGTTGTTATTTTGTATTTCCAAATTTGGCAGTTTCTTCTACAACAATTTTTTTCCGGGTATTTTATTAATACTATCATATATGTTTGATATCATATCATTATCATTCAAAATACAGATGATATGATTTTTTTAAAAACATTAGGTATGTTATGACTTTAAGCAGGCTGGAATACCACACTATTACGGAATGGAATGGAACGAACCCGAACGGAATGGAAATTTTGAATCTCCGCACATTAGCGCGGAATTCCATGGAATATTGTAAGGGTTCACTAAACTAAAGACCGCTTTAAATTACCCTATATGTTGAAGAAGAAGATTTATATGGATAATCGCTTAGACCAAATTTCTAGGTTCACGATTTCTGGTCCTGTTTCTGCGCATTGCTGTCTTCATAGAGCATGCGAAAAATGTTTCATTATTGCCATATTGCACAGCATTAGACATTGTACAGCTTTAGATTGTTGTATTTTCTAGAACTAAAACTAGAACTAACTCCAGAACTAGAAACATTCGGGTTTAGCCATACGTCTCTTAAGACGGCTAAACCCGAATGATTCTAGTTCTAGATCTAATATTATTTCTAGTTTTAATTGTTATTCAGCGCTGACGTCACGAACGGGCCTTCGAGCTGTGCACCCGGGATATAGCAGTCTTCTTCAATTTTACCGTGCTGGGTATAAATATAAAGTAGACTAAACGTAATGATTCGGATAACTATCGGAATTTGTGTGCATTAAAATGATTCATGACACTCCCTTCCCTGTATTAATCCGTTATAACGAGGTTTTACTGTAATTGATTTTTTTTTGTAGATTTAATTTTTTTTTTTAGGTTTTATTTTTGTAGCTTATTTTATTTTTGAATGTTTTATTATTATATTTTAATTGCATGAATTGTTTTTGTGTCTAAAATATTTCTTAATATTTCCAACACTTATTTTTCAGCCAAGATTGGGTCCGAAACCGTTTACGCCATCAAAATCTTTTGAGTCAACAACATTTGAAAGATCTTTCTCTGTTCCCTCTTCTCAACCTTTCAACTCTCAAAGTAATGGGGTTCATGAAAAAGAAGAACAGCCACAAGGAGATTCTGAGCAAGTGACACAAGAAACTGTTAAAGACGACAAAGAAACGGAACAAATCGATGAAGGGGAAAAATCTCCAGATGTTAAAGGCGAAGAAGATGATGAAGTGAATGAACCCAGTAATAATTTTGAAAGAGATTCGCTTCACAGAACGAGTATCGCTGAAAGAAGGAGGATGTATGAGAATAGATCGCAATCTGTGCAAGAAGAAGTGAGCGAAAAAGGGGATTTTTCTCCTGCTCAGTTAAAAAGGAAAAATAAGATTAATGAAGATGGTAAATTAGAAAAACCGGATTTGGGGAAGAAAATTGATAATGGGGTTAGTACGCCTACTCCAAAGAGGACTTCAACAGTCTTTGGTAAATTTTTAATCATCATTGGGTTTACAAAATTAATCGTTTGATTTTGTTAAAGGGCGCGTTTCGAAATTTCGACATTTAAAAGGAACACCAGCTCATAAATCTTTTCATATTGAGAATATCAGAAATATTAGTCGGCAAATTTCGGGAGAATGTGATGGATTTGCTGGTAAGATATTCATTTTTATTAATTTATTTTAGTACAATTTTTTGTTTAGTTAATCCGGATAGAGTAGCAGTTCCATTAAGTGGTCCAGGTGGAAAAATAGCGATTTTCGAACTATCAAAAACCGGCCGTCTTCCGGATGGGGTAATCCCCGCTTTAGTAAATGGAAATCCGATTATGGATTTCACTTGGGATCCTTTTGACAATCAAAGACTTGCAGTGGCATGCGACGATGGTACTGTTCGTTTGTGGAGGATCCCTGAGACCGGATTACAAGAACCAACGAATGTTTTTGAGAAAGATGTTAATGCACACCCAGATAAAATTTATTGGTTAAAATTCCATCCGACGGCTCAAGATGTTTTAGCGACTGGATCTTATGATATGACGGTTAAAATTTGGGATTTGAATACTTTGGAGGAAAAGATTTTATTGAAAGGACATTCAGAACAAATTTTTAGTTTTGCATGGTCGCCAAACGGATCAAATTGCGCTACGATGAGTAAAGATGGAAAAGTCAGAATTTATCAACCAAGAAATTCCGAAAATCCCATTAAGGAAGGTAAAGGACCCGTTGGGAGTCGAGGTGCGAGGGTAGTTTGGACTTTGGATGGAAATTATTTGGTTGTAACCGGTTTTGATAAAGTTTCCGAACGGCAAATAACAATTTTTAAATCACACGATTTAAACAACTCCTTAAATACGGTTGGTTTAGACGTTTCTCCCGCGATTCTTATCCCATTTTACGACGAGGATAGCTCCACTTTGTTCTTAACTGGAAAAGGTGACTTAACTGTTTATGCGTTTGAAATTACGGAGGAGTCCCCTTATATTTGCCCATTGAGTCATCATAGATGCAACAGTTTACATCAAGGATTAGCATTTTTGCCTAAACATAAATGCGATGTGGGCAATGTTGAATTTGCTAAGGCTTTTAGATTGACCAATAATTCCATTGAACCGGTTTCTTTTACAGTTCCAAGAATAAAAGTAAGTTATTTTAATTTTTATAGACGAAATTATTGGTTCGTTTGTTATAGACCGAATTATTCCAAGATGATCTTTTCCCACCAACAAGAGTAACCTGGGAACCAACAATGACTTCATCTGAATGGTTTTCAGGAAAAAATATTCCTAGTAAAAGGATTAGTTTGCGCCCTGAAGGAATGGGATTATGTATAACTTAAACTCTTAAAAATCGTGTTCTTTTTTCTAAATAGAATTTGTTACAGTATCTGAAACTCAAAATGCTTCTGAAAAAACCATCAATAAGTCGGCGTCTCAACCCTTTATAGCTGATTTACAATACAGCCGGTTAACTGGTACTGTTGATATAATGTCTCAAACTAAAGCAAAACAAGAAGAGGTAATAAAAAATTTTATGTATAAAAATTAATTAATTCCTTTAAATTTTTTAGATTCAAAAAACTTTGAGTAATAAGTTGGAGATTAATCTCAAATTGGAACAAGATGATATGGAAGGGGTTGATGCAAAGGAATGGGACGAATAGTTCCACAAAAAAAAATTAATAAAAATAAAACGTAGTTAAGTAAACCTTTAATTTCTTACTATTGTTTGGTAAAAATTTTTGCCAATTTTTTTTTAACTGAAACATGACGATGTTGCTGCATTCCACAATTAATTTTTTTTAACTGAACTGAAGGATTAGTTTCCTAGCTTGTGATCACTCTCAATAAAATAACGTGCGATATTAGGCTATATACTGACAGTTTATTAGCTTTCGTTTTTTAAGAAATGCTAAAAAAATGCAATAAAAAATAAAATAGAAATCTTATTCACATTTTTTTCTACTCTAGGATTAGTTTTTTTAACATATCCGCTTGGTTTTATAAACTTATTTCGTGAGTTTAACAAGAATGCTCTCAATTTTTATTTAATATTATTATATTTATATCAATATGTACGCAAGGAACCATTTTAAGTATAAAAACATATTTTCTAGTCTTATTCATATGTATCAAGATCTCGGAAATATACAATCAATTTTTTTAACATAATTATTTTATCGTATTAATAGGAATCTATTATCGTTTATGATTGTATTTTTTACTTTTATATTTTAGTGAATTTACTTTATCGGGCACTCAACATTCCGTAAGACTTTAATAGTGCCAAATTTTAAGCGCTTTGAAAATCAAGTCGTTCTTTTTCCGAAGCGCTTACGAAAACAAATTGCCTCTTTAAAAATAAAATTTTTAAAATAGAAATTTAAATAAAAAAGGTACAGTGCTCAGAGTCGCTCAAAATGTAATTGAACAAATAAAGTAAAAGAAAAGCAGGTTTAACGTGACATAATATCTAAGTCCGTATTTTATATAGGTATTTATATTACAATTTATTTTGTATTTATTATATTTTTACTGTGACTGTGTGTTTTGCAATTTTTTTAACAATTGTAATACTATTGATAAATAATAAAAACAAAGGATTTGAATTACTTTTATAATTCTTCGGTCCTTTCAAAATCCTTATAGACTTTAAAATGACTGTAGGAACTTTGTTACAAGTTTTAATGAAATTCCTTTATTAATTCCCAAATTAATTCCTAATGTTTTCCAGTTCGCAGAATTGTTTCAAAAACACCGCAAAATGACTAAATAGAATCCTTTTAAAAGTTCAAGGATAACATTTTGGAATATATTAGGATACCAAAAAAAATTATGGAGGTTCAACACTTAAATTGAATTAACTCATTTTTGTTGCAGAAAATTTCTATAACTTTCAAGAATCGATCCTACTACATAAATCTCATTATTGCATTATCTTTTGCTACATATATTTCAAGAGGAATGCCAACAGTTGATAAAAATTAAAATTTTTAATGTCCTAATTTTGCCTTTTAGTCCAAAGAGTTTTTCAAAGGTTTTTTTATGGTGTTGAAAAAGTTTTGGTCATATGGCATGAAAGATAGAAATTGGTGACACATTGAACCGTAATATACTTAGACAATGATAGTTCCGTAACTTCACTGTTTAACCCTTTCAGGACCGAGCAGGATTAAAAGCCATACCTCAGGGGTTCTGGTCCTGTGGCAAAATATGTCGCAGTTCAATAATATATTTCCCCATCTGCTGGCAATGATACGTGATCTGTCAGAAACGTTTCCTGTAAAGTCAGAACAGTTGTAGGAGCACTTGTAGATCTATTAACAACATTTGAAAGTTACGAATGTCTATGGCAGAGACATGGGCTGTTATGTCTGCTTTCTAACATTGTTCTGGAAAAGGTAATGCAGATCTTAGTATTCGTCGACGACATAGATATTATAGGGAGAACAGAAAATGAGGTGAAGGAGGCTTAAAGATATATTTTAGAAAGACCAAGTATATGACGGCAATGTCTGGCAGTGGAAACATACCAAAACATTTGGAAGTTGGGTATGAGAAGATAAAGACGGTTAGCAGTTTCGTATATTTGGGATCTTACCCAACAAATGCTTCCATGAGCTTAAAAACAACTTCACATCTAAGTTACCAAGAAAAATCAAATTATTCCTATACAAAACGTTAATACAACTAGTACTTACTTGGGTCGGGAACATGGGCCTTAGTACTAAAAGACTAAGAAGCGCTAAAGAGATTCGAGAGTAAAGTGCTTAGAAGTTAATAGTAATAACGCTGTAAGTTCAAGGTAACTTAACTTCAAGTTGTAACTTCTATATTGCGAACCAGAGATTACATTTATCAAAGTGCAAAGATTGAGATGAATTAGTCATGTTGGGATTGGGTTGGGTTGAGTTTGGGTGTGTAGAAAGTATAAGTGATTTCAGAAAGTTAATGAATTTTTTTCCATCACCACGACTACGGAAACTACAGAAATCTTCTATAATATCTTCTATAATAGTTCAAGCTCTTCCTATGATTCATCATCAACGATTAATTTGGACAGGCAAGACTATGATGATAAGCCGCAATTGAAGAGTCAATTCACGGTGGTGGGTCGAGGTCAAAGTACTGTTTATCTTATTTCTTTAACTAGGAGGAGTGAATATAAAGGATAGATAGTTTTTTTTGTATTTATTTATCATTTTGTCAATTCTAAACATAAGAGTTAACGTTTAAGGTTTATTTATTTCAAAATATAGTTACATAAAACATTGTAATTATTCTAAACAGGAAATCTTAAGTATTTGGTACAACTTTTGCAACTTTTTCATTTAGAACACTTTTGGTTTAGATTAAAACAAATTACCACGACTACGGATGACGGGAATCTGAAAAGAGAGGAAGAACGAGGGAGGACCAGGAATGAAGAGGATCATTGATTGGGAACGAAATGTAGGAGGAGAGAAGGGGGGCCTTTCCTCCTCAACCTAAGCTATTTCAAAAAATTTATGAATTCTTTTTCAACCATCACAAGCGTGGATAACGAGAGACTGCGAAAAAGGGGAGAAATGGGAGAGGATGAGGTTTGATGTTAGCGTTAATTGTTGATGACTGATCATAACGATGAATGGGAAGGATAAGTTTTGATTGATGCAGAATGGCAATTATCTGACAGAGAGACGAAAGTTTAGTTTTCTGTACTCTGATGTAATGCCTTGATGGTGCTTCCGGAGTAGGAGGAGAGGGGGGAGGATTTAGTGGGTACGTCTAGGGCTAGAAAAGTGCCACACTTCCAGCCGAAGTACTGAAGCTTTCCCCCTAATCAATATCTGAGGCGCCAACAGTAAGCCGGGGTGTAAAGCATTTTTCCCTCCTCTCGCGCCAAAAAGAAAGTTGGGTTGGGTTGGGCTCAGGTCGAAGAGACGATTTCTGAACGATGTGGAGGAGGACCTAAGAATACTGACGGTCATGAGTTGGAGACAACAGCCACGGGATGGACAAGCATGTAAGGAACTGTTAAAATGGTCCATGATTTACAACAAGCTGTAGAGCCAAGCATGATGATGTAGATAAGCCTTGTAGTAGCTGATTTCTATTAATCTATTTCACGCCATTAAAGTTGTCCTGAAAACAAAAAGATAGAGAACATATTGATAAAAGGAAGGATTACATTCCTTCAGATCTCAATCTTTTTCAGGTATAAGCTGTGAGGAATGCTTCTGACAATCTTAATAAACTACAGAAAGTAGCTGATAGATATTAGAGGTAAAAAGCAGTAATCTCCAAAACAGTATCTTCTAGTTCAAGCTCTTCCTATGATTGATGATCATCAACGATTAATTTGGACGGCCAAGATTTTGTCGAAATTGAAGAGTCGCGGTGGTGGGTAGAGGTCAAATTAAGTTTTTTTAACAAGGAGCTCGTGTTACTAGTTTATCTTGTTTATTTAGGAGGAGTGAATAGAAAGTTTTTTTGAATTTATTTATCATTTTGTCAACTTTAAAACATACGAGTTAACGGTTAATTTATTTCAAAATATAGTTACATAAAACATTGTAATTATTCTAAACAGGAAATCTTAGGTATTTGTCAATTCTGCACAACTTTTGGTAACGTTTTAATTTAGAAAATTTTTGGTTTAGATTAAAACAAATTAGATAGATTTTTAAATGCAATTTATTGCACAACTTGCTGGGTTAGTAACACATAACAATAAATAATATATACACCCCTAAATAAAAGAAATAATAAAGAAATTAAAAGTAATTAACAAAAATATTTTTTAATCGTTAGTAAAATCATATAAAAGTTCCGTGTACGATTCCAAATTTCTTTTTAAAGCTTTCATAGTTAAGCTTTAACGCGTTTTTGGATTTGAATTCTAAATCCATCGGCACGTTTTAGGATAATATCACCTTGTAACTTGAAATCTTTTTGAGCCACAGGCGAAGTAATATGATATTCCCTCAAAATTGTCGCTAGAAGAACTTTCAATTTCAACATAGCGTATTTACGCCCTGAAAAGAATTTTTTTATTATCTTAAAAATCGGAATTGTTATAATTATATTTACCGACACAACTTCTTGGGCCAGCACTGAAAGGAATGTAACTGTAAAAGTGTCGTTCTTGACACTTTTCGGGTAAGAAATTATCTGGGTTGAAAACATCTGGATTCGGGAAAGATCTTGGATCTCTATGCAACAAATAAGGAGCAATAACAACGGTTGCCCCCGCTGGAATGCTGTAATCTCCTGAAGCCATTTTAACTTCCTCGTTGATTTTTCTCGCGATAATTGGAACTGGTGGGTACATTCTTAAGGATTCCATTATAACTCTTTCTAATAATTTCATTTCGACGGTATCGGCAAAGGTAACTGGTCTATTTGAACCTTGGAAAATATCGTTTAATTCTTGTAAAACTTTAGCTTGAATATCCTGATGGACACCCATCATACACAAAACGAAACTGGAACCAGCAGCCGTCGTATCGTGACCTTCGAACATAATCGTCGATACTTGATCTCTGACTTCTTTTTCGGTGAAATTAATTCCTTCTTGCATTGCTGCTTGAGTTAAAGCATCCAAAAATGCTAAACGTTTCTTCTCACCAATATCATTTTCGTCATTTTCATCCAAATCGTCTCTTACAGCGGTCCCGTTATTATATCCTTGAATTTTTTCGCCGTTTACTTTCGGTTTTTCTTTCTTTTCTTCATAAGCCGGGGAATATTTTGGTTCGGGAACGTCAAATCTTTTTTGAAGGTGATCTTTCTTTCTGCTATCTACAGCCTAAAATGACGTAATTTGTATGATGATTCAATGTTAATTAAATTTAATGAGAATCGGTAATTCATTAACAATTTAAAATCGGCTATTTGAATTTTAAAAATTTACTTCATCTGAATATAATTGTTTTTGTGTTGTTGATGAATTTATTTTTACCTTGTTTGTTAAATCGTGAATGATTCCTAATAATTTGTCGTGTTCGCTGCTGAATTTTGTGTTTTTGAAGATTGAATTGAATCTAAGCCATGGTTTGTAACTTCTTTGATGGAGAATGTTACACATCCTATTAAAACAAAAATATTAATAATCTTTGTTTTTTTAATAAAAGTTTTAATTTAATACTTCATCACAGCCATTGCATATTCAAATCCTGAGTCTTCACTTCTTGGTTCTTTGTAGCCCATAACAGTTTCTTTAGGCAAAAAAAAATTTGTTTTTAATTTTATAATTATTTTTTTTTTGTTTCAGAATTTACCTAAAAGAATATCAACTGTAACTCCACTCATATATTCATGGCAATCAAAGGTTTTTCCAATTTCCTTTTCCATTTTACGACAAACGTTTTTGCTGATATCATTAAATTGTGGAAAGAATGATTTAAGGATGTTCATATGGAACGTTGGCGCAATCATCTTCCTGTGGTTTCTCCAAATATCACCTACCACAGCAGAAACAAACACGTGTAAATATTCCTATTTGTATTCAAAACGTAATTCGCTATCACAACGCGAGAAGGTCATTTAATGAGGCGATTTGAAATCAATCGATGCCGCCGCAAGTTTTAGAATCGAATAGAATAAGTCGTTGAATACGTAATTGTATATAAAAAGGAAGATTTTTTTTCGGGAGGTACTTTCTTTTGCGATAAAAAATTTTGCAATAAGACGACGTAATAAGAAATTGAAATTAAATTTGCTTACCGTAACTGATTAGAAGACCATTTCCAAACCATGGTTGGAAAAATTCGTATTCAACGGACTTTTCCAAGTGAACGTTGCTGCTTAAGATGAGTTCAACGTCAGCTGGATTGAATAAACCTACCAATAAATAAGGACCAGCCCATATTCTTACTAAGTTTTCTTGTTTCGAAGCGACTTCTAAAGCAACTTTGAAAACTACAAGAATATAAAAAAGTTAAAAAAGAAATTGATTAAAAAAACATATTGTACCTTCTGGAGGTGGCTTTTTGGTATCTAAATAATGTTTTAAAGTTTCTAAATAGTCCGGACCTGGTAATTGATTTCCCAATTTGAAATATCTTTCATTTTTCTTATAATAAGCATATATAAGAACGGAAACTATCGAAATTAAGGCGACCAACACTCCAGCAACCATCTTAAAATTTATTAAAAATATTATTTAATTTCTTTTAACCATTTGTTTTAACTCACCTTTTATTTAGGTGTAGTTCTATTCGAAGTGAACTCTTGAAGACAATTTTGCGAACTGACTACTCTCACAACACGCGTCAACTTTTATACTTTTTCTTGAATTAATTATCAACGTTCACTTGGCGATTGATTTTTGACGGTAATCATTGATTACAATAGCCTGAACCTGACATTTGAATTTAAATTTTCCGCAACATGTCCATAAAACGTTATAAATATTCCAAAAAGACTAGTTAAAATTCTTACGCATTTTCAAACTGTTTTTCGTATTGAAGCGTAAAATTCAGTTAGAAATAAACAGGAAATGAACGTTGGAAAATTCAACATAAATTATTAATATCATTGTTATTAAGCGTTTATGGTAAAATTTTGTTGATTCAAGTTCGAGCACTTTCTTAACCTTTATTATAGTGTATTTTTTATGCATAGAAGTTAAATTAAAAATATCGCTATAACACAGTAATTGAATTTTTTTTCCATTAACTTTTATTGTCCTTTATCTAATAGGTTTTTTATTTATAAAATTAAATAGATATAAATTGCTTTAATTAATAAATTTTTTTTGTGTATTTACAAAAAACATTATTTAGGAAGTCTTAAATTTTTTCTAACAATTTTATTAGATATATTTTTTGCGAGATTTCCTTATTATTTTCACTTTTATTGTTTGTTTCAGGGTGTGATCATGCCTAGAGTGTACCAACGTGGAAATTATCACCTGAAAACGAATTCGATAGAAGAGGTCGTTATTGTTAATTTGCACTAAAATGGTTTTTCGTTAATCGCCTAAACCGGAACCTGCGCTAGTATCAATCATGGATTAGGGAAGGTCAGGAAGATCGCAGAAAACAATCTTGAGAGCGAATTAAAGGTGCAACAAGATACAAGATCAATTGCCTTTGGACTTCCAATCTTATCAGCTACATGTTGTATTAATGTCGCAGGCAAATGGTTATTTCAGGTAGATAGCTTTTTTCAGTGGCCGTAAATTGTGTCATCAATATAAAGTCTAAGATCCCTGACACAGACCCTCCTCTTCAATTCAATTCCATCTACAAAGATATGTGCCATATTGCTGATAAACGCTTTGGATTCCCTACCCCGGAATACCAAGTAGACCGATTTATTCCCATTTAACAAAAGACCATGTTTTTTAGTAATATTTAAAAATTTATCTAAATCACTGTTTACAACAGCAACAGACTCTAGCATATTATTTGAGCTAAAGCTGTGGTAAAGTTGTGTGTCATCCGTATAGAGATGAAATTTTGTGCAGAAGCGGTCAAAGACCAACATTTGAGGCGTATATATAGTGAACAAAAGTGGAATGTAGAGCCCTGCGCTACACCAGACCTCAATACGGCTGGATCCGACACATCATTATCAATAACTACATAATTGTAGTTAAATAATAATTGTCGATAGTGCGGTTGCAGAACGATACCCAGACCTAAATCCTGATTTATTTGTTCCGCCACGACCCTTTCCAAAATTCCCGACAAAGTAGTCAAAATACTAATTGGCCTCACATTCGAGAAGGAAGAAGCAGTTAATGATTTAGGAATAGGAACAACTTTGGCAGATTTCCATTTCTCAGGAAAGACACAAACCTCTAAAGAAAAGTTAATTACATGCAGGAGGCAGGGAGTTATGTGTGGACAACAGAAACTAAGTAACTTTCATTTACTTTTTGGAAATAGAAATTTTTTACACCAAGTCTTACATTATTAGCATAAAAGTTGTACACGTCCGGGTCGACCTCCGCAGACCGTCCCGAAATCGAAATGTAAATATTCAACTTGCGCAGCTCCCTCCACAAATTTTGAGTGCTCCCGATTCTCATTTGTTCAAAATAAAGTAGTTCCTATCATTATCAACCTACTTTACTTAAATTAAAGTCACTAATGAGTGTCAAACGAGTCAAATAATTTGCGTATCATTTTCAAAAAAAATGTCTAACAGTTTCATATACTTTTATTAAGTTTAATAAAAATACAAATAAACGATTTATTTCTTGAAGACTTAAATACTAAATACAAAAATTTACTTGTTTTGACAATTGCAAACAACAAATTAATGCTTAAAGAGCTATTTGCCTGAAAATATTTTAGCCATATGCTATTTGCCTAGGAAAGTAGAATTTATACTGAAATAAATGGAATAAAACTATTTGCCTAGGCAGATAGTATCTGCCTGAAAAAGCTATTTATCTGAAACAACCATTTGTCTGCGACGGTTCAACACCCTGCTGCATAATAACTACATATATGAGCATTAAACAGATGGGTTTATATTACTATGTGTATGATGTGGTAGAACTAAATATTTTTCTACTTTGAGCAGTAATGCACCCAATTTTCCAGCAGATTAATTCCCGTTGTCATACTGCAAAACTATACTTCTATAGACAAGTTTTGCACAAAATAATATTAATTTCTCGCCATGCCTCGATATTTAGCTCATCAAGCATGACTAGGTTGTATTATACCGAAGAGTTTTTTTATTATTCCTCCATATTGCGGATATACTGCTGTAAAAATATTGTTATTTGCGAACTAAAAGAGAATCACTGGGTTCTAGACAAACCCCAGTCATTCTCAAACTTTATATATAATCTGTTTTTTATTTAAATCAATTGTCAAAGTGTCGTCAAGTTGGTATTGAAAGTAAAAGCGCATGTCGTGACTTTTACTTTAATTGTGTGCCACCACTGTCTATCAAATTTGTTAAGATTGATTAAAAAACAATTTTCATATAATTTTTTTGCTGCTAAATCTACCATAAAAATGTTAAGAAAGGGTGGAACGGGATGTCAACTGTCTAAACGCGAAAAAAACTCTATAATTAGGTATTGTGAAGAAGTACAGACGGAGACACCAAATACGAATTTAAAATATATATGTGATAAAGCTTCACGTATTTTTGATGTATGTGTATTGCACTTGAGTTTTAAAATTAAATTTATATTCAACATAATTGTATTAGGTTCACAGCACGACGGTTTTTAAAATTATTCAAACCTACAAAAAATATCAAACTGTAAAAAAACCAAAAACACAAGGGCGTTGTAAAATGAACTACAAAACGGATAATAATTTATATTTTATTAAAGAAGAGTTAGGAAGACAAATACAAAAATTGCATGAAAAGAAACAGTATTTTAATCTTAATGATTTACTTAATTTTGCAAGAAATGAATGTGATTTTACTAATGGTAGATCAAAATTACATAAAATTATAAAATCTATGGGATATAGATATAAAAAGATTAGCAATAGAAAAGTGTTAATTGAACAACCACATATAGTTTCAAAAAGAATTACATTTTTAAAGACATACTTGCAATACCTAGAATCCGGAGAGTATACTTTTGTTTTTCTTGACGAAACTTGGATTTACGAAAATGGCACCCAAGTTTATCAATGGGTAAATGAAAATGAAAGATTCGGTATTCCGCAAAGAGCAGAAGGCGAAGGAAAAAGATTTACAATCTTGCACGCAGGCACTTCGTCAGGGTTTTTGCCAAATTGCGATCTCTTGCTCAGTGACAACACGGAGCACAGAGATTATCATAAAAATATGACGTCAATTATTTTTATGGAATGGGTGAAAAATCAATTACTTCCAGCATTAAATAATTTGGGTGCGAAGTGTGCGGTAGTAATGGATAATGCTCCATATCACTCAAAACAAATCGAGAAAGCTCCAAGTTTCTGCACAAAAAAAAATGATATGAAAAAATGGTTAACTGAACATAATATACAGTTTGAACCAACCTTAAATAAAAAATCGTTATGGGAAATAATCCGTTATTACAAGCCTCAAATTGAAAAATCCTTTGAAATTGACAAATTAATAAGAGACCATGGCCATACTGTTCTTCGCCTTCCTCCATACAATTGCCAATATAATCCCATTGAACTATGTTGGGCGTTCTTAAAAACTTATTACAATAAACATGTTCAGTCCAGCTCGGAGAAAAAGATCTGTCGTGTCAAGGAGACTTGGCAAAAAGCTCTTGGTCATTGCTCATTACACTCCGGAGATGTGGGCAAATAGTGTTCGCCACTGTGAAGAACTAATTAAAAAAGATTGGACAACATTAATGGGAAATTCATTAACCTCCTGTCATTATCCAACTAGCGGAAGACTCAGATTCTTCCAGTAATTCTGATTTTTAAACAATATTCAAATTTTAATGATAGCACTTAATTATGTTATCTTAATATATTGCTCACGAGTTTTAATTTCAAAACGTAGATATTAGCCAAGTGACGAGAGATTAGTGGCTTCGTCTTTAAAGTGACAATCAGTGACAACTTCGTTTAGAATATACACAACCTTACTTATTATTTAGTGGAAAATATTATAAAACGTGGTCATAGAACATGGTATCTAGGGTGGTACAGACCGTTTTTTTATAAAAATTTGGCAATGACAATTGATTTAAATAAAAAACAGATAGCTGCCTAATATTTTTGGTAGTAATAGAAAATTAACGGCACATCATCTTTGTTAACATTATTAGAACAATTAGGAGCAACCCTAACGGATTATGTTTTCTGTAACAAGAATGCAAAAAATACTGATTTCTTAAGTATTTAGAACATTTACCTTTAGAGCAGAATAATGGTCCCCTCAATATTGCCAGGCAGTTTATGGGCCGATTTACAGAGTAATTTCTTTTCATGAGCTTCATGTTCATTTGAGACTGATGACCAGAAATTGTAAGGATTATGATGGAGTGCATAACTTGTGGGAGTACACCTCTTTTGGTGTATTGGGACAATATGAAACACAGCTATACGTCGATAATATGGGACAACCCTATAATTATCCATTTTAAGCAATTAGAAGATCCACTTTTCCAGTAGGATTAACTTTCGCGACCTCATAGTGTAAGACATTGTGTGTACCGATTTACAGAGGATAATGTCAAACTTTTGCCACACCCAACCCAACCTAATTTCCCAATATTTCACCATTCGTGCATGTTTGGGAGATTATGGGAGGGGAGTGACTACAGCTCACAACCTTACTTTTTACTTGTTACCACCTGATTGTAGATATTGAAGCATCTTATTAGTCTTATCATTCTTCTTATAGGCCCTAATTTCGTCTTAGAATCGTTTGTTCAGAGAGGTTTAAACCGCATATTCTGAATTTTGTATTTTTTGAGTCAATTCTAATAAGATCCTATTAACTAAAGTGTCCAACATTGCTTTCATTGCCTTGCACTAAATCCAATCCAACCAAATGAAGATGTTATTTACTTTATTTTGTTTTTAATACTTTTAGATTAAAATTTTTTGAATATTTCAATTTCTTTACCTTTAATAACTACTTTCGTGACGTTTTTGCACATCCAATAAGCATACAATAGAATTGATTAACAATTAATTATTGAAGTTGATTCGCACCTAGGTACTATGTAGATTTTTTTCTGTACACTTAACATATTTGCCTAATTAATTATATAAAGTTACCAAAAAGAATCAAAAATAATCTAATTAAGTCATTGTTTGAATTGTTTTTATTAAAATGTGAAGGTGAAATTAAAATAATTTATTTTATCTCTTTTCCAGATAAAACTTAAGAAATCAGAAATTAAAAAAAGAGGAAAATCTTCGGTAAGACCTTTTAATTCTAAATACTTGTACTTTTCGTTATCACTTTTCATTTACGTTTTTCAATTACTTGCACCGCATTTCACGTTGACGTACGTATAAAAATTCCAATTTCGTCCACGAATTGGCATCATCCGATCGCCCCATTATAACCAGCAAAGAAATAAAAAAGAATCGTTCGGACTTACTCAGTATACACGCCGACCTTTTATACAACACGTAATACTACAGCACCTTTCTCGTTTCTTATACGAGTGACGAGGGTGTTTTTTTATCGAACCCCTCGCGGCAACTCTCCTTCGCAACAATCATTCGATAGGAACTTCTTTTTCGACCAAATAACACGCCGCGTTTCGTGACTCAACCGTTTCCAATGTCACCACCGGTATGTTAAATAGAGATATTTTAATTTAAAACGTTGAATGGGCGCGTGAGGGTGGCATACGAGTCCGTATCTAATTTTGAAATTTTTTTTTAATTGAAGATACATGTTTTATTCTTGCCGACAAATAAAACGATTCTTACACATTTCTTTAAATGTAAATTAGAAGTTAAAAAAACGGTAAGAATTGGATAGAATAAACAGAATGACATAAATATAAAAGCACGCGTCGTCCACGGATGACCAACCAGACACGCTTCAACGTTTTGGGCGGTGTTTTCGAAAAATAATTGTGGCAGGTGAAGCTGTTTCTGACACACTCCGTGCACCCTGTAGGTCATTAATTGCTCCGGCGAGCAATAACTAAATTTTTTTATTAAAGTTACTGGTTGATATTGTGAATATCGCGTGAAATTGTAACACATTTCTTTTATTTTTAAGAAATCCTCATTGTGATCTCGTTAAATTTAAGTAACAACTTAAAATCTCAAATTACATAACACCCTTAAGATTTCTTTCTTTGGGTGACTTTAAATGGTTTAAAATTTATTGTTGCGACACTTTTCGTTTTGTTTGTACCTCTTAAGTCACTTGGAAATTAGTACAATTTCGGTGTGGATCCGCATTTTGACAAATTTTTAATTTATGACCATACTTGAGATTCCTCTTGAGTCGCGTTACTTCTGCGTAAAGGCGAAAACTATTCGCCCATTAGTTTCGGTCGGTCGAATATGTTATTTTGTGTCGATAACCAACGTATGGTGAGCAAGTGTTCGCAAAGCAGGAAACGTTAGAAATACCGGAAACGTGACGCAAACAAAAACGTATTTCATTCGGTCGCATTAACGACCCTTCGACCTTATTATTATTTTTTTCGGTACGTTTAATTTCAGTTTTTCCACTCGGTCAATTGTTAAATTGTGTACGACGTTTTTTTGAGTTTTATTAATTAATGGACACGTGCGGTTTTATCTTTAAATTTTCGGGGCAGGCATGCGATTATTACTTTAAAAAAATTATTCTCTTCCTGTATGCAAATTTTTCCACTTAACTCTTCGGATGCGTTTTAATATAATAATATAAAAAATTTTTAAATTTATGAAGGCATTAAATATTTTTATTTTTCATTTATATTCTTTCCTTTTTTTATTAATCAAACATAAATGTGTGTTTATTGTAAAAAAATTCATTGTTAATTTAAAAATTTTAGACAACCCATTATACATCCTTCAGTTAATTTAATGTATTCAAAGAAAAATAATCAAGTTGAGGAATTTAAGTATTTGGGAGTTATTAAAGAGATCAAACATAGAATAACTGAAAGCAGGAAAATTATAGGATGCCTTAACAGTCTATGGTGGGACAAGAACATAAGAAGAGGAACTAAAAAGAGAACACTAGTAAAGTCAGTGTTGGGCTATGTAGTGAAATATGGGTAGTAAACGCAAATTTAAAAAGAGGGCTTCAGGTGGTCGAGATGAACTATTTGAGAAGGGTGTCAAGAATGCAACGAATTACACAAAATCGCAACGTCAACAGTGATAGACAGAATCAAAGTAAGAGGTTTACGGTGGTTTGGACACCTGATGAGGATTAATGATAACCGTTGGCCGACGAAGTTATTTAAATGGGTTCCGCTGGGAGGAAGAAATATGGAAGATCGAGAAGATCCTGGAATGAAGGCATCGCAAAGGTAATGTGAGAGAAACATCTCAAGTAGAGGATACGCAGGATAGAGAGACTTGGAGAAAGGTCAACGCTAATAACGTAATTTGATATGTATTATATATATATATATATAGAGCTGGTAGTTGAGCTGTAGTATATATTATATATATATATATATTCAAAGAAAAAATTATCTTCAACTTAAATTACTTTTTTAAACCATTAATTTTAAAAGTCCATTAAAAAAAGGGAAATGAACCGAACGAAATAAAATAAATGAAACGAAATGAAATGAACGAAAGAAGGGTAACATCTCAACTTAAACGAGTATTGGCAGGAGCCATCGGCGGCCACCCTTGAGATGTACGGACTTCGATTAACCCCTTACTGGGCGAAGAGATGCGGGCTTACAAGGGTTGCTACGTAATTACGCATTTCACAAAAACTCAGCGGGTGATTTAAGTTCATGATTTATTTTAAAATCTCGTCTAATACTATATTTACACAAGAGAAAAGAGAGGTAAAAAAATTGTTAATGAGAACACAAATTTTTATAAAAAATTGTATCAAAAAAAATTTAAATATGAGATCGATCTTAAAAAAATATTGTTTTTAATAACTTAATTATCATTTTTTAAATACATTCATACCGTTATTATTCTTTTTGTATTTAATTTGTTTATTAAATGAAATATAAAAAGAATTTTTTTTATTAATTATAAATTAATAACACAAGTTTACATATTTTAAGTTTTGTCTTAAAGATTGCGTTGTTTTCATTTTAACAGAAAATTTTTGCTAAATCTAAATCTGCCTATCTCAATAATCTTATTAACAAAAACATGGAAATGGTGTAGTTGTTTTAAGACACAAATTATGTACAGAAAGAAAAATCTGGAACCAACCCCAAACCTATATTTTCATGTATACATTTTTTACCCTTTCTCAAATAAACGGACTTGCTAAGAATAAAGCTTTATTACACCATTGAAACTTTTTGTTAATAGACCAAAATCTGGAGCAAATCGAAACACATTAAAAATAAATTCATAGTTAGCACAAAATCTTAAACTTAATGAAGTAAATCGGAATTTTTTAGACATTTCGTGTAAACTAGTGTAATTTAATTAAAACCATTTACAAGAACATTATTAGCTTAACTTTTTTTGTCAATTTCATCGTCGTAAATGGTTTTGCTTCATACAGTAAAGTCGATCTAATAAATATCTATAGAAAAAATTCTTAAAATCTAAGTAAAAGTTAGATAATAATAAATATATTTTACTGGCAAACATTAACAATTGTAGAAACGCTTAAATAAATAATAAACACTTAAATTTATGTGGTCAGTACAGTAGTCCCTCTATTTACGCGGATTCACTTTTACAAAAATGTGCGATCTAGATAAAAGAATGACTTTGGCTAGAAAAAATAATAAGAAATGAAGACATAATTCGAATATTTAGCCATTCTAAGCTCTGGACTCATTAGAGATAAAGCTATACAGCTATACGACAATTTTATGATAGAAAGCCGATTATGAGGCAGCAAAGCTGTATCAAGAATCCCTAATGAAGATAATTCAATATGGTGGTTAAGTACTTAATGCAGATGAGACTGGCTATTTTGGAAAAATGTACAAGAACTTTTATGCTCAAAAATGAAAAAATCGCTCCTGGCTTTAAAGTGGCTAAAGACCTAACTTTATTACAATGCTGGACAAATTACAACATTGCTGAATTTAAAAAGTCTACATTGAATAGTTGCTGGAGGAAAATCCGACCAAATGTTGTTACATCAAAGAAGGTGGATGAGAATTTGCAGAATGAGTTTATGGTTTTTTCTTTTAGTATCATTCAACTGTCAAATATTGAAGAGCAACTTGAGTCATATGATTCTGAACAGAAAGACAAAGAGCAAATTTAGTAACTGATCATAATCATGAATGCAGTGACAGTTATCAAAATAACGAAACCACTTTTCTAGCTATATTAACTGTCAAATTAGTTAATAATTGTTTAGAATTGGGAGGAAGAGTAACAGATAACTTGATAAAAAAGGATCCTATAACACAACTATGTTTAAAGGCAAGCATGAGATCAAACATACAAATTTTTGAGATGGGGACTCCAAAATGAAACAAAACAGCGCAAAATCACATATCTTTTTATCTTATAAGTAAGTTTAAACTTCAAATCAGTTCATCTTCAATTTATTGCTTAATTTACCCCCGCGTAAATAGAGGGACCACTGTATATTTTTTTTTTCTGAAAACAAAAAATTAAATTAATACTTTTTCTAAAATATATTTACATCATTAATTTAATATTATTTCCAATTTAACATAAATTTCCTTCATTTAAAATACTGACCAAATAAATATAAGCCATAAAAAGTCCTGCTGTACACTTTGGTAATTACCAAAAAAAAAATTCGGTTACAAAAACTCTGTTTCAAAATCACATTTCGGTTTCATCGGGCGAAAACTCGTCCTTTACTGGCACTTGTGGAGGTTTACCTGGAAATAAATAACAAAAATGATAAAAATCGTTAGAAATTTTTTACCCTGGATAAATAATTTAATCCCCTTGCTTTTTTTTGAAAAAGGATGTGGGGTTTTGAAATAACGTCACGCAAAATCAAATTTATTTCCGTTAGAACCGCAAAAAAAGTGGAAAAAACCATTTCCCCCTTTTTTACAATTCGTCGGAAATCTAAAAATACCCTCTTCCCTCAACGGTTTTTGATGTTTTTACCCCAAAAATCGGCGCTAAATAAGCGCACTAGGGTTGTTTAATGTGAATAAGAACCTGATTCTTAGTGTCCCATATAGGAACGTTTTCTAGTAAGATTCCCACGTTATGGGACCGACTTGTTTTCCACCTCGACAGGTAAAATATGCATCTTTATACTTGTCGTGACCCGTGTGCTCTCTATTTTCTATGAATAATGGGAATCCTAACGGACAATGACTCGTGAAACCCTGGTTTTATAGAAAATTCATCTTTTGAAATTTCAACATATTCTTTTTTCAAATTTTAATTTAAGTAAATATAGCCCCAAGTTGATTTAAGGATCCTTTTAAAAGTATTTTACTTTAGAAAATTAACATCACTACTTAACCTTTTGGGGTATATGTAATAATATAAAAATATATTTCCATAGAAACCAGGGCGTACCTACTTACTTTATCCCACATAAAATCTAAAACTAACACTATATATAGAACTAGAATCATTTGGGTTTAGCCGCACATCTCTAAAGACGGCTAGTAACAGTGCTAGTGTAACACTAGAACTAACACTATACCTAGAACTAGAATCATTCGGGTTTAGCCGTCTTTAGAGACGTGCGGCTAAACCCAAATGATTCTAGTTCTAGGTATAGTGTTAGTTCTAGTTTTACACTTGCACTGTTACTATGTAGAACTGTCCCACATAAAATCGAGAATTAACACTCTACCCAGAATTAGAATCATTCGGGTTTAGCCGTCTTTCGAGACGTAAGGCTAAACCCAAATGTTTCTAGTTCTAAGTATAGTGTCAGTTCTACAGAGTAACAGTGCTAGTGTAAAACTAGAACTAACACTATATCTAGAGCTAGAATCATTCAACTGTGCTAGTGTAAAACTAGAACTAACACTATATCTAGAACTAGAATCAATCGGGTTTAGCCGTCTTTAGAGACGTGCGGCTAAACCCAAATGATTCTAGTTCTAAGTATAGTGTTAGTTCTACAGAGTAACAGTGCTAGTGTAAAACTAGTGTATGATTCAAGTTCTAGATATAGTGTTAGTTCTAGTTTTACACTAGCACTGTTAGTATGTAAAACAGTACCACATAAAATCTAGAACTACACTATACCTAGAACTAGAATCATTCGGGTTTAGCCGTCTTTAGAGACGTGCGGCTAAACCCAAATGATTCTAGTTCTAAGTATAGTGTTAATTCTACAGAGTAACAGTGCTAGTGTAAAACTAGAACTAACACTATATCTAGAACTAGAGTCATTCAACTGTGCTAGTGTAAAAGTAATTCAACTGTAATTGTTATGCAGCGCTAGACCAACAACTAGAATCATTCGGGTTTAGCCGTCTTAAGAGACGTAAGGCTAAACCCAAATGTTTCTAGTTCTAGGTATAGTGTTAGGTCTAGTTTTATACTAGCAGTGTTACTATGTAGAAGTAACACTATCCCTTTTCAGAATCATTTGGGTTTAGCCGTACGTCTCTAAAGACGGCTATACCCGAATGATTCTAGTTGATTCTAGTAGATATAGTGTTAGTTCTAGTTTTACACTAGCACTGTTACTATATAGAACTAACACTATATCTAGAACTAGAATCATTTGGGTTTAACCCTCTTTAGAGACGTGCTGCTAAACCCAAATGATTATGAAAAAGGATAGTGTTAGTTCTACAATGCGTTAATTAATTATCGTACCTGACGTCATCATTGCAAGTGTGCAACCAATATCACAGTATTAGTATTGCAATACGCGGTTTGCGCATGATGCGTATTGTACTGTGATATTGGTTGCATACTTGCAATGATGACATCGAGTTCGATAATTAATAATTAATTAACACATTGTATATATTAACAGTGCTAGTGAAAATTAATCTTTTGAAATTTCAACATATTCTTTTTTCAAATTTTAATTTAAGTAAATATACCCCCAGGTTGATTTAAGGATCCTTTTAAAAGTATTTTACTTTAGAAAATTAACATCATTAATTAAACTCGGTTTATCTTAAGATGAAAATCTAAACCGAGGCGAGGCCTCGAAATGAAAAAGTTAATCAGGAACACCTCTAATTACAAATTGATACTGTTGTTCTCAAAAACCTCTCGGTCGCCACTTTACTTTTTAAGTGAGTTGCTGTGTACCGCGGACACGTTTATCTACGTCCTTTTCGGACGGTAGGAGGCGCCACCACTCCTCCTCTTTCGCGTTCTTATCGTCCCTTTAACGAAAAAAATGCTTCTACAGACGCCCAAAGTGTAAATGTCCTATCATAATTGTTACAAATGACGCGGGTTCGACTTTTCAAAATGAAAGAGAAAAGATCCGGTTCGTTTTTCGGTTTCCTAATCGAAATTAGTTGTGTTCTTCGAGGTTGATTTTTTTTCTATTTCTACCGTGATAAAGTCGGCTACGTCTAGTTGGAATGTTATACATTTGTTGTCGGGCGTCAAAATATGGCTTCTATTAAGATAAGTCGTATCGAGAGGACTAGAAATCTTCTTTTATTGAACTAAACGCCTCCCGTCTGTGTTGTATCTACCGTTGTTAATGGAAATTTGGTGTTTTCTTTTTATTTTAAGCCGGTAAAACGAAGGGGTTAAGAAAAATATGTGTAAGAAATAGGGAAAGTTAATTTGTTCTTAATCAGAAGTCGTAGATTATTTAATAAAAAATTTACAACTCGTTTAAATTTTAATCTGTTAAATAGGTATATCGTACGTGAGGAGTACGAGAAAAGAAGAAGAAGTAAATAATACTTTAAGCGACCGTCAACCCGCCTCTTTAAAGTCCTAAATAAGACATCCATAATAATAAAAACGAAAGCAATGAAAGTGACAGTAAAGGGGGTCGTAAATACGTCGTCTGAATGGAGTCGTATCAAGGACCGTAATATACTGACGTAATGACTAGGTCTCTGCGGCTACAAGTAGCCGGAGTATACAAGATGATTCCACGATTTTACTTCTTCGTCTTTCCCGGCTAATCTACTTAGGAATGCCGTCCTCGAAAGCGCACGAGAATGAAGACGTCCCGAATTTTCGTTCACTCTCTTGAAAAGGAAAAAGAACGCCGCGGGTGCTTTGTCAAAATGTTTTGACGCCACCGACGCCAAGTTACAAGAGCCGCGAGAGATTCGACTTTTAATCTGATGATATACGCCCACACGTAATCGGGGTCTTAACGTCTACAACGATGATATATTCAACGACACGTAATCGTTGGACGTAAATCTGTACATGATAAGAACCTTGCGATTTACGTTTAAATTTCAATAATTTCGTTTAAATAAATTTTGAAAAATGATACAATTTTAAACAGTAGGAAGTAAATATTTGTGATGGACCAGTTTTAAAGGTGGAGGTTTATTTCCCAGCCCTATTTTAATTCTATTTGATTAGGGTCCAGGCTCCTTTTTTTAGGTTCCCCCTTTTTATAATATAAGAGTTGATCCTCCGTCGAAACCATATCGTCGACCTCCTGCTCTCAATATAAGACCGAGGTCGCTGTATAGTCGACCATAAATCCGCAAGGACAATGCGAAAGTAGAGGATAAATCAAGCAAGTACTCACTAGAAAATTATCTTTGGTCTCGCTAAACGGACGACCGTACGCTGAGGACATAAAGGAAGGGCCTAACTGACAACAAGGGACCTTAATGTGGAAATTATGTTAATTTTCACTACCGATTTTTTTTTCTCTTATGTAGGGTTATAAAAAAAATGGTCGGGTATTGTCTTTCCCGTTTCGTGACCCAGCTATTTTCTCACTGACTTCTCCGAGTACGTTGAGATTCTTCTTGAAAAACCTTTTGGGGTGTTCTCACGATGAAAATATACAGAGAATGTCATTTAAGATGCGATATACAAACATATATTTCACTATACCTAGAACTACAATCATTCATGTTTAGCTGTCTTTAGACACGTGGAGTTAAACCCAAATGATTCTAGTGTTAAGTATAACATATATTCTTGAACGAAGATTATTACTCTTGGCTCAAGCTTATCATATTCTTGTATATCCACAAGAAGATCATTTTGTTGAGTGAAGAAAAACCACATATTCTCAAAACAAGTATACAAATATTTTTGATTCTCAAGAAAACGAATTCTTAGTGAAAGTAAATCAATAATCTTGAAAAAGAGAATCTTAGTGTTGCGTCAACAATCCCATTTTCGTATCGAGAATAGATTTCTTAAGTCAAGAATAACGTATCTTTCTTTTTAGAAAACTTATTCATGTAACAACAATCTTGTATAATTCTTCATTTAATAATAATAGTAATAATACTTTATTGAGCTTCTCAATTACAGTAATAAAGTAACAGTATCCTTTACATTAAATGTGCTCAATATGAGTTAGTTCGGTTTTCACCGTTCTTCCACCAACCCATCAAAACGAAAAGAAAAACAAAAAGAAAAACAAAACAATAATTTCAATTACATAACCGTAATCGCACTGTAACATACATACATTATAACTATAACCTAATAAAACTAATCAAAATTGAGTATTATAAATTATTGACGCAAGAATGAAATTTTTGATACAAAAAATTGGTATTCTTCGATGCTAAGAATATGATATACTTTATTCCATAATATTTTTATTCTTAAAACAAAAGAATATTTTTGTTTTAAGAGTATCTTATACTTGTTTTTAAGAAATACATTCAAGATTAAATTTTTCTTTCGGGTAAAGCCGCACGTCTCTAAAGACGGCTAAACCCGATTGATTCTAGTTCTAGATATAGTGTTAGTTCTAGTTTTACACTAGCACACTTGAATGATTCTACACTGAGGGAAATTATTCTTGACTTTCAAGAAAAATTTAATCTTGAATGTATTTCTTAAAAACAAGTATAAGATACTCTTAAAACAAAAATATTAGTTCTACAGAGTAACAGTGCGAGTATAAAACTGGAACTAACACTATATCTAGAACTAGAATCATTTGGGTTTAACCGCACGTCTCTAAAGACGGCTAAACCCGAATGATTCTAGTTCTAGGTATAGTCTTAGTTCTAGATTTTATGTGAGACTTTTCTAGATAGTAACAGTGCTCGTATAAAACTAGAACTAACACTATATCAAGAACTAGAATCATACACTAGTTTTACACTAGCACAGTTGAATGATTCTAGTTCTAGATATAGTGTTAGTTCTAGTTTTACACTAGCACTGTTACTCTGTAGAACTGACACTATACTTAGAACTAGAAACATTTGGGTTTAGCCTTACGTCTCGAAAGACGGCTAAACCCGAATGATTCTAATTCTGGGTAGAGTGTTAATTCTCGATTTTATGTGGGACAGTTCTACATAGTAACAGTGCAAGTGTAAAACTAGAACTAACACTATACCTAGAACTAGAATCATTCGGGTTTAGCCGTCTTTAGAGACGTGCGGCTAAACCCAAATGATTCTAGGTCTAGGTACAGTGTTAATTCTACATAATAACAGTGCTAGTGTAAAACTAGAGCTAACACTATACCTAGAACTAGAATCATTCGGGTTTAGCTGTCTTTAGAGACCTGTGGCTAAACCCAAATGATTCTAGGTCTAGATACAGTGTTAATTCTGCATAATAACAGTACTAGTGTAAAACTAGAACTAACACTATACCTAGAAATAGAATCATTTGGGTTTAGCCGTCTTTAGAGCCGTGCGGCTAAACCCAAATGATTCTAGTTCTAGATCTAATGTTAGTTCTAGTGACAGTGCAAGTGTACAACTAGAACTAACATTATACCTAGAACTAGAATCATTCGGGTTTAGCCGTCTTTAGAGACGTGCGGCTAAACCCAAATGATTCTAGTTCTAGGTTTAATGTTAGTTTTAGTGATAGTGCAAGTGTAAAACTAACACTATACCTAGAACTAGAATCATTCGGGTTTAGCCGTCTTTAGAGACGTGCGGCTAAACCCAAATGATCCTAGGTCTAGGTACAGTGTTAATTCTACATAATTACAGTGCTAGTATAAAATTAGAGCTAACACTACACCTAGAACTAGAATCATTCGGGTTTAGCCGTCTTTAGAGACGTGCGGCTAAACCCAAATGATTCTAGTTCTAGATCTAATGTTAGTTCTAATGACAGTGCAAGTGTAAAACTAGAACTAACACTATACCTAGAACTAGAATCATTCGGGTTTGGCCGTCTTTAGAGACGTGCGGCTAAACCTAAATGATTCTAGGTCTAGATACAGTGTTAATTCTGCATAATAACAGTACTAGTGTAAAACTAGAACTAACATTAGACCTACTTTTAACACAATAATAAAAAAAAAATATGTTAAAAAGATTTTATTTCGTATCTAATACTGTTTTGAGTTTAAATTTTGGCACGTGAAAAGGCGGTTGCTAGGTGGGTTTACAAGTAGTCTCCTTTTAGACATCAGAATGCGATTCCAGACGAGAACCGCCGTACAGGAGCGTGCCATATGTCATACGTTTCACAGACCTGTGGAGCGCACATGTGGCGGACTGCGAGTTCCCCTGCGGAAGTCCTTTAAATAATGGGCATACGTGAGCCCGCCGCAAGTGTCTTAAAGAAAACGGGGGCCTTCATCCACCTACGACGACGTCTACGTCTGGAGAATGCCGAAAACTCGTGCCAGGCAACTAAAATCGAAAATAGAACCTCCACCATCCCAGTTCAAATCGTTGTTGTTTCTATAAATATTTCTTTTAAGGTGGTCGATATTTCGTTGAATAAAATTCGTTGGATTTTTATTACGAAATTAAATTCGGTCATGCGAAAGCTCTTTTAAGTCCCTTCGCATTTCTTTGTCTGCCAATCTTGAATGGTCCATACTTTTAGAATAAATAAATTTTCGCTTCAAGAATTTTTGAGTTGGGATGATATTAAAAAAAGCGACCCAGGTAACTAATAGACAATAGCCTAAAAAAATTAATCTGGCTTGGGTAATCCAAAAAAAAAAAGGACGCCAACCCTTTTTGCTAAAATAAATTTCTTTTATCTTTCATCTTAATCGTTTTCGAAATTTTCGAAATCCCAATTTCAAATAACAACCTTTTCATTTACTATGACTCGAAAAGCTTCAATGATCTCGGTATCGTTTTACTAGGAAACTTAATATTTAAATGATACGTCTCGATTGTGTCTCGGAGATGACATTGAACCTTGGAGTTTTTGACCTTAATAGAGGCGGCCGAGACCCATTCAACGGGGCTAACTACACGCGGGGCCCTTTTATTCCGGCTCCCGTGGCCCAGACGGTCGCTTCTTTTTCACAATGCCGAACCACGAGAGTCAGCCATTCTTCTCCTTCTCTTCCAGGACGCTTTTGATCCCCGGGGATTCAATGCGCGAAAAACGTAACTCCGGAAGAAGTGAGAAACGTGTTTTGCGCGAGGAGACGACAACCGTCTGGACATTGCTTGTTGAAAAACATAACCTATCCTAACCCGTCTTTACCCTGCGGGTTTTGATGCTATGGTTTCTGGTGTTGCTGGGCAAAATTTTGTTTTCACGACCGGTTTTTTTTTTAGAAAAATACGTTAGGTTCTTATTGAAGTATTAACCTGCATCGATTCTTTAAAAATAAAGATATTTCATACGGGTAGCAGGTGATAATTTAAAAACAAACATTTTCTTGTTAAAATAAACTACTCACGTAAAATTAAATGAAAAATTCCTCTGACTAGCTATTTTGAACCTGAATATGTTGTTGTTCCCACCATGACGATAACATTCCAACGTGTAACATATTTTCCTTGTGTTCTTCAGGCACTTCAAGCTCGATTGGTTGTTCCACTTTAATTTTTACGTCCATTTCCGTTTTGAAAACGTTCTCAGTCTTATAAATGGTGTCCTCTTTGAATACGTTTTCAGTTTTGAACGTATATTTTTCGTTTTTATCACTTGGTGAAAGAGAGTTATCACTGTATACTTCGGGGGATAAAGAAGCTGTGGTGTGTATGGAATTTAGCAAATTCAAATCTTCATCAAACACCATATTTTCATCGATCATTTGTTCTGTTAATAAGGAATCGTCGATGTTGATTGTAGTTGGATCGTCGTAAACTGGGATGATGTGGTGATATTGATGGTTATTTTCGAGTTTGTACGTTTGTGTTGGAGGTGGAGTTGGATTTGATAAATCATCATCATCTGAATGTGGGGATGAGATGAAGGAAAACGTTTGGTTTGAATATGTAGGCATTTCGCAACCATCTGAAGCTAAAATGTGCTCTAAACTTCGAATGTATTCCACAGCCATCCTTAAAGTTTCTACTTTACTTAGTTTTTTATTCCCAGATCTTCCGGAGTTTGATTCAAAAGCTGCTGCTATCGAGTTGGGTATATGTTGTCTTAAAGTTGCAAAACCATTATTCACTTGCTTTACTCGATTTCTTTCTCGAGCGTTTCTTCTCGCAACTGCTAAAGGAGCCGGCTTCTGCACGTATTTGTTGTTTTTCTCTGTTTGTCGTTTCTTTTTGGCCGTGTTGGTGAGAAGTATGTCGTCTTTAGTATTTGGTAAAATAGCCGGCTTCCTGATTATGATCACGTCACCTCGTCTTTCGTTCGTCGTGTTTGACGTTGCGGACTGTTGCAAAATGTTCATTTTACTTTCCGTGGGCGCGCAAACACTGAACCCGGTCATTTAAGACGCCGTTTGTACGTAATTATCGCCACTTCGAGTGTATGACTAAACGGTTCTTGGCGGTTTTACGTTTCGACGATCCCGCGCTAACGAGCGACGTCGCTAATTGACTCGTATACCAATTGCGACCGATTAAAAGTTGGTTTTGTCGCGTGTATTGATACCGACTGACTGTATTTCGCAGCAGAACGCAGACGGCACGAGTCCCATAACAAATAAACTCCTCCCCTCGAAGGGGGTTGGCGCGGTTTTTATAGCGTACAGCTGTTATATTGGAAGGAAATATATGAGGGTCCCGGTGAAAGCAACAGCTTAGGTACGTTAAGGGGGGTATTTTTCTAGAGGGGTCGAAATGTAGCGGTACTTTTTCGAAACTAGGTTCTTTTTTATCTATTTTATTGATATCCGGGAGATCCCTTTGAATCAAATTTTTACCGTTCTTGTACTGATCCATGACCCAAATTCCATTTTAATCTTCGTGAATATCGTTTTTGCGCGGGGGTGTCGTATTTCTGGGTTATGAGGGTGTGCATCTGGACGAAACGGTTTCTGATTTAAGGGTATAACGGTGAACAGTTATAGTAGGAAACGAGAGATTTTGTGTAGATCCCTTTGAAATTGATTTATGGTCGAGCTGCGAATTAAAACACGTCTCGAACGCGCAACAACGACAACTTACATGAAATCGACATTGCGAGGACGAAATTTGTTGAAGAAGAAAAAAGGACGATTAAAGTGACGAACGTGCGTGCATCACGAGAGACGCCGCCAATTAAGCTCCGATATTTATTGACCTCTTCGGTTTGAACGTACGAAATCTTCCGCCAAAAGGCTCGATTCCTACCATATATGAACCTAGTTTAATTAGGACCCGGCGCTGTACGATTCAACGTCGACCACAATCCGCCAAATACAGAGTGTTTTATTGCGGACCCAATACGCTATACACGTGTTCGTACACGCGAATAACGCGTACGCACTAATTGCAACCGAATACTATTTTTGTATAAATTATGATCTTGACGGCGGGTTGCGAATCTTAAGTCCATACGATTCTCGTCGTAAATAAAAATAACGGGTGGAATGGATGAGAGGAAAAGATCAGGAAGTTATTGCGAATACTTGAATAAGGAGAAGAACCGAATGAGATGAAAAGGAAAACTGCGAGGAGTGCGGTAGGCGCGATATGTAGGCCGGCGGTCTTCTCATTACTATGCGTATATAAATTATACAAGAGAGTTTCGGCTGGATAAAAACACCTGCCCCCGTAAGAGTGTACACCAATTCTCGTATTTCACATTATTGGTGTACCTTCACTTCGATTTTTAATAAAATTGCATTCGTACTTTATAATTATTAAATACGGTATTAATTTACCATCATTTCTGCAGATATTACGGACATAGTCCTTATTCTTGACGAGTTTTCTGGTCTTGATGTACTCTTGCGTAATATTTTTTTTGCACAATTCCGATTTTTATACATTTTTTAATCCTACAATCCTCTTCTTATCCATTTATTTGATTCTACTAATTCTTCTGAACTGAATATCTAAGGAAATTATATATGTGCCAGTTTATCCAAACAATATTTCTTACTTAAATAATCAATGATTGCAATTTCTTAGTCATATTCTGCCATAACCTGGTATATTTACTTCTTTACATAGTAACCGTGCTAGTGTAAAAGTAGAACTAACACTAGACCTAAAACCTGAATCATTTGGGTTTAGCCGCACGTCTCTAAAGACGGCTAAACCCGAATGATTCTAGTTCTAGGTATAGTGTTATTTTTAGTCTTACACTTGCATTGCCACTAGAACTTTCTAGTTCTAGGTCTAGTGTTAGTTCAAGTTTTTATTATTATTAGCGCTAAATTGTTGTCTATTTTTACTGAAATAAAAGTAGAACTAACACAAGACCTAGAACCAGAAACATTCATAAGGACGTCACCTTTATAGGTGACCTTTATATGGAATGAAAAACAAGTGTGAGGATGCATAGGCTGGCGTCGAGCATTGCGACCATAATACTACTAGAAGCGAGCAGATTTGTTTTAGTCGCAGCTAACCAAAGAAACATCCTCATCATCATATCAATTATGACTGAAGACCATGATATTGGAAAAACATTGTGTCAGATAAAGCAAACAAAACTAAAACTGCTGAAAAATCAGTACTCTAAACCAAAAGATGATGATCAAAGCATTTTCGATAGTTTACTCACTAACATAAAACTATTACCACAACTTTATATGATCTGAGCTACAACAATGAAAGTCAGCAACAAAACCAGTCACAGTCAGCAACACCCTGTCCTGATAGCATTTTGCAAGAGTTGTTATCATGTTTAAGTAACGTCACGGATGATAGTAGGCAGTCTCATTATTGATATTTTCATGGTTCATGGTTCAATGGGTTGACGATTGAGGTTGGTAAATTTTTTGATTATTTTATGATGTATTTTACCCAAAATATAATCAATCATTGAAGAGTTCATGCGAAAATATGAGTGAAATTTTGTTGGAAGTATTCGCATGTGATAAAATTTACCAAAATAATGTCTATCTTTATATATGTCGTGAAATTCTTGTTTCATGTTATTGTAACTTATACCAAAGTGTTAATGATGATGTTTCCATTAAGGACAAATTATTTTCTTCGTTAGTAGTCATTTTATACAGTGTTAAAAATACTCTCTGGGATCAGAAGGACCCTCATCATCATAAGTGATACTTGCTAAATAAGTTATGGGATGCTGTTGCAGCAGAAGACCATGGTATTGGAAAAACATTGTGTCAGATAAAGCAAACTAAACTAAAACTGCTGGAAAATCAATACTCTAAACTAAAAGATGATGATCAAAGCTTTTTCGATAGTTTATTTCCTAACATAAAACTATTACCACTACTTTATATGATCTGAACCACAACATGAAAATCAACAACAACCCCAGTCATAGTCAGCAACAGCCTCTCCTGATAGCATTTTGCAAGAATTGCAGAATTTTACAGATTATTATCATATTTAAGTAATGTCACGGATTATAGTAGGCAGTCTCAGTAGTTATATCTTCATGGTTCGTGGTTCAATGGATTGACGATTGAGGTTGGTCCATTTTTTGATTATTTTATGATGTATTTTACCCAAAATATAATCAATCGTTGAAGAGTTCATGCAAAAATACGAGTGAAATTTTGTTGATGAACCTAAGTGATGAAATTTGCCAAAATAATGTCTATCTTGGTATATGTCGTGAAATTCTTGTTTCATGTTATTGTAACTTATACCAAAGTGTTAATGATAACGTTTCCATTAAGGACTAATTATTTTCTTCGTTAGTAGTCATTTTATACAGTGTTAAAAATACTTTCTGGGATCAGAAGGGCCCTCATCATCATAAGTGATACTTGCTAAATAAGTTATGGGATGCTGTTGCAGCAGAAGACCATGATATTGGCAAAACATTGTGTCAGATAAAGCAAACTAAACTAAAACTGCTGAAAAATCAGTATTCTAAACCAAAAGATGATGATCAAAGCATTTTCGATAGTTTACTCACTAACATAAAACTATTACCACAACTTTATATGATCTGAGCTACAACAATGAAAGTCAGCAACAAAACCAGTCACAGTCAACAACACCCGCTCCTGATAGCATTTTGCAAGAGTTTTTATCATTTTTAAGTAACGTCATTATTGATATTTTCATGGTTCAATCAATTATGACTGAAGACCATGATATTGGAAAAACATTGTGTCAGATAAAGCAAACTAAACTAAAACTGCTGGAAAATCAATACTCTAAACTAAAAGATGATGATCAAAGCTTTTTCGATAGTTTATTTCCTAACATAAAACTATTACCACTACTTTATATGATCTGAACCACAACAATGAAAATCAACAACAACCCCAGTCATAGTCACCAACAGCCTCTCCTGATAGCATTTTGCAAAAATTGCAGAATTTTACAGATTATTATCATATTTAAGTAATGTCACGGATTATAGTAGGCAGTCTCAGTATTGATATTTTCATGGTTCATGGTTCAATGGGTTGACGATTGAGGTTGGTCCATTTTTTGATTATTTTATGATGTATTTTACCCAAAATATAATCAATCGTTGAAGAGTTCATGCAAAAATACGAGTGAAATTTTGTTGATGAACCTAAGTGATGAAATTTGCCAAAATAATGTCTATCTTGGTATATGTCGTGAAATTCTTGTTTCATGTTATTGTAACTTATACCAAAGTGTTAATGATGACGTTTCCATTAAGGACAAATTATTTTCTTCGTTAGTAGTCATTTTATACAGTGTTAAAAATGCTTTCTGGGATCAGAAGGACCCTCATCATCATAAGAGATACTTGCTAAATAAGTTATGGGATGCTGTTGCAGCAGAAGACTATGATATTGGCAAAACATTGTGTCAGATAAATGCTGGAAACTCTCTAAACAAAAAGATGATGATCAAAGCTTTTTCGATAGTTGACTCACTAACATAAAACTATTACCACGACTTTATATGATCTGAACCTCAACAATGAAAGTCAGCAACAACCCCAGTCATAGTCAGCAACAGCCTCTCCTGATAGCATTTTACAAGAGTTATTATCATATTTAAGTAATGTCACGGATAACAGTAGGCAGTCTCATTATTGATATTTTCACGATTCATGGTTCATTGGGTTGACGATTGAGGTTGGTACATTTTTTTATTCTTTTATGATGTATTTTACCCAAAATATAATAAATCCTTGAAGAGTTCATGCAAAAATATGAGTGAAATTTTGTTAGATATTGATGGACCTAAGTGACGAAATTAATGTCTATCTTTGTTTATGTCGTGAACTTCTTGTTTCATGTTATTGTAACTGATACCAAAGTGATAATGATGATGTTTCCATTAAGAACAAATAACAGAACAAGTTTTCTTGAGACTTTGCTCGTCGTTCCACTATGTACGTACTATATATCCTATATATATCGTCTTTGACCAGCTTGTCCGCCTTCTCATTGCCCTCAATGTCTCTGTGACCTGGAACCCACCATAGAGTAACATCATTGCCCCTAGCGAGTTCTCTCAGTCAATTTCCTTTAGGGCGGCTCGACTGTCTGTGAAAATGTTTATGAATGCCACCTTTCTGTCTCTTCTGTAGGTTCA